CCTCCTCCCTCCTCCCTCCTCCCTCCTCCCTCCTCCCTCCTCCCTCCTCCCTCCTCCCTCCTCCCTCCTCCCTCCTCCCCTCCTCCCTCCTCCCTCCTCCCTCCTCCCTCCTCCCTCCTCCCTCCTCTCTCTCTCCCAACGTGATGTCCTCTTTCTCCTCCTTCCCTTTCTTCACCTTCCTCCCCTCCTCCCCTTCCCACTTGCTGAGGAGAATTTCCCTTCCCCTTCCTCTTGATTTTCTTCTCCCACTCTTCCTTTTCTTTCCCTCCTCTGACATTTCTGATGTGCGTCTAGGCAAACTCATATCAGCAAGCAACAGTCGAGCAACCACGTCGAGACCATTCGATTCGTCGATGCAGGTCAGCATGAGGGGGGGAAAGAGGACAAGAGGAGGAGAGCAGAACGAGGGGAGGATGATTGAGAAGAGGAAGGAGATAGGGGAGGGAGGAGAAGATTGAGATAGGAGGAGTACAGACTGAACTTCGTCGCTTCCTCAGGACGAGATCGCGGGCTGAACTCACGCGATGGCCCTCGGGTCCCGTACTCAGTGACGGAGGTGAGGAGGAGGAGGAGGAGGAAAGGGAGAGGAAGGGGAAGGGGGAGGCGGAGGATCGGTAGTGGAGGCTTCTCATGGGTATCGCAGGTGGAACAAGAGCGGGGAAGCCAAGCAGGAACCGACAGGTATCTCATCCTCATCCTCTACCTTTTCCACTTTCTCCTGCTCTGCTTCCTCTGCCTCCACCTTCCCTCGCTCTCTTCTTTCTCATAATTTTGCTCTTCTTGTCTTCTTCCTTTCATCATTTATTCTGCTTTGTCCTCTCCCTCCGCCAATGTTTCTGTCTGGCTTTCTCGCTTGCTCCTTTCTCTCCCCATCTCCAACTTACCCATGAGCAGGACGAGAAGCTCGTCTGGTAGACGATCAGAGTTCGCTCTCAACAGGTTAGAAGGAGGACAGGAAAATGCACGAGACTTGAACTTCTTGACAGCAGAGGGAGCGACTGGTTTGAATCCTCTTCCGATCTAGCCAGTCAAACACGGTACCTCTCCTCCCTCTCCCTCCTCCCTCCTCCCTCATTCTCCTCCTTTCCCCGCCTTTCCTTGTCCTCCCTCCTCCCTTCTTCCTCTTCTCTCCCCTCCTGCATTCATGTCGTCTTCAATCGTTTCGATCAACTGACACAGTATTTCTCTTCCTTGTTTCCTCCTCTTCCTCCTCCTCCTGCACTTGCAGATCGTCGCAAGAAAGTTTTCTCGATAAACTCGGAGAGCACCAAGTCACTCCAAGGAGGCGAGGAGGGAGACCACAGAGTGCCAGCCAGGCTCAGGTCATCACCATCATCACCATCATCATCATCATCAGCATCAGCATCAGCATCATCATCATCATCATCACATCATCATCATCATCATCACCACCACCACCACCACCACCACCATCATCATCATCATCATCATCTCCATCATCATCACCATCATCATCACCATCACCATCACCATCATCATCGTCATCATCATCATCATCTCCCTCTCCATCTCCATCATCGCCTTCTCCTCTTCCTCCTTCTCTCCCTCCTCTTCCTCTCACTTTCTCTCAGAGCATATTCGGCATCCCCAAGGAGGAGGAGAACATTGTCTCCCGGTGAAGTAAGCTACTTACCCTTGTCGCCTCTGACCCTCCTTGCAAACCAGCTGGGCGCGAGTAGGCAAGGACGAGCTGAGAAACGAGAAGCAGCACGCCAAGGCTATCAGGTCACATCCTCCGCGTCCTCCGACAGCTCCCTGGCCCTCCTGGCAGTGAATCGAGCGCGAGCATAATGAATGTTTCATGTTTACTTCTTCTCCTCTCCTCCTCTCTCCTCTTCTCCGTGATTTCCCTCCACTCCCTGCTCTCTCCTCTCCCTCTTCCTCCTCTCAGGCCTTCCAGGTCTGTAGCGCCTCCTCCCACGAGGAAGACTTTGCAGCTTCTTTGAAGAGGGGGAGCAGGACTAGCGCGTCCAACGCCGCGTACCGCAGCTGGGGAGCTGAGAGAGGCCGCTGGCTCCAGTCGCTCATCGCCTGCTCCTTGTTCAGCTCCGCCCCGTCTAGAACTTCCCTTGACAGGCCCGCAAGGCTGCTGGAGACTAACGTGTCAGAAGGAGCAGCTGAGATTGTGCTGGGCGAGGGAGAAGGATGGGGGTGGGGGCAAAACTTGGGTACCTCTGGTACTTCTTGGTGCGAGGACGAGAACTTTTCGCCCAGTGGGAGAGGTCAAAGACTCCGTTGACCTGCCGATCCTGCGCGTCAGCCTCCACCAGAGGCCCAAGCTGCTGACCTGTGAGAAGACTTGGGTCATGTCTGCGCCCACTTGTCGGATCTTCCGGATGTCATCCCTGAGCTGAGAAAGTGGTCATCCACAGGTGAAAGCGCGACATTTCGGGACCTCGAAACCGAGCTTGACGATCTTGCTGTTCTCCACGACGTTCTTTAAGGATTGGCAGAACAGCTGGGAGAGGAAGAGGTCAGAGTAAGGGCTAATCTTCTAGTTGACTTGCCCCTTTGGCTTCTTCCAGCTCCCTCGCCTGCACTCGTTTGTCGTCGTAGAGAGCTGGGAAGGGCGTCAAATGGGAGTAAGAAGGAGGGAGTTTGTCTACTCTGAAGGTCAACAATCAAGGCGTAACGGATGTTTGTCGATCGGGGATCGCCAACAGATATCTGCATTCTGCTCAATTGCTCGCATCTACGAGGACAGGGAGGAACGACCTGCATCAGCGACACCCGATTCCTCTCGTTGGTTCGCCGTATCGGCTTCCACTCTGCATCGATTCCTGTTTGACCCGTCATGACAAGAGCGGAGACAAGCTGGTGATCTCGAGTTGAGTTGTGTTCGAACTTGATGACAATGATGACTGCTGTGGAGATCTTACCGATCGCTGGGGGCAGATGTGCAGTGTAAGACCAGATTGAGTCGCTGGCCGTGTAAGAACCGTCCGAATGGTTCATGTCTGGGAAGCAATCAGTTGTCTACATTGCACAAGAACCAACTGACATGATTCCCTATCAAGTTTGTCAAGAACAAGAGAAGCTTCTACCAACGAGCTTGGACTGTGAAAACAATGGAGTCATATTGTGACAACAGAATGTCACGCTCTGCTATCTGAATGATGGTGTGAAAGAATCATCTTTGCCCTCTTGCTCTGTTGTTTGCCGGATCACCTGTTCACGAGGAGCATCTTACACTTGGGAGGAATCCTGAGATATTTCTTGCTCTCCTCCTTGATCTTTCGGATTGACTCGCGGATCAGGTCGTTGTCGACTGGCGGACATTGACTTTCAAGTTGAAACTTTGACCTAGAAACATTCAAACACGATGAGAATGAAGACGAAGTGCAAGAAGGAAAGAGGAAGAAGGAGAGAAGAGGGAGAGGGAGAGGGAGAGGAAGTTGGAGGAACGGAGATAGGGACAGGACAGGGGAGAAGGCGAGCGAGGAAGGACAGGGGGAGAGAGAGGGAAAGAGAGAGCAGGTACCGTATCTTGTCTGCCAGCTCGAAGTTTCGCAGGGAACAGAGCTGATGGAACAGGAAAACTCCAAGGTACTTCATCCACAGGTGTTAGAGGGGAGAAGATAAAGTTGAAACATCGTAATGAACATCTCACATCTCTCAAAGTATCATTTTCCTCATGCATGACGTAAGTCACTGCTCCCTCAATCATCTTGTTCTTCAACAATTTCAGGATCTGCTGCTGTTTGTACCTGGAGCTTTCTTCAGCATTGACTTGTAGAGAAACACAAGTCCATGTTTCTTAATGGAGATATCAACCACAACACCAGAAATTGTATGACAACAAGTACGAGTCTCACCTCTCCTTCGCCTGATCTAAAAGAGATACACCATCTTCATCACTTCCAACCTCCCACATTTCTGCCAGTCTCAAGGCAACCTTGTACTGCTCAGAGTCGATCGAGTACTTCACGAACCAGGAGCGATCATTCCCATTTCCCATGAGCCTGATGAGAGTCTCGGCAACATTCCAGTTCCCATCTCCCGCATACTCTCGCGCAGCATCTTGCACTGAGATGCAATCTTCACACTGGAGGAAAGAGATGAGGCGGTGGAGGTCACGATACCCGACGAGATCGACTTCTCTTGTGATGTACTCGTGTGAGATTTGGTCCACGAGGCCGTTCACCTTGAGATCCGCCGATGAGATGCGGAACGAGCGGATGATGGAATGAACAACTTTTGGACTGACCCTCCCCTGACCTCTTAGGATGAAGATGACAAACTTAGATGCTAACTTGCGGTGTTGGTAATCAACTTCCGGCTCCTCCATCATGTCTGCCCCATCTTCTGTAACTCTGATCCCCTCGGGATGCGATATAGACGACATAAACACCTGTACAACCTTGCAGGTCAGAATGCAGTCTGCTCCATCCTGAAGACCTGTCGTACCTTTATGAAGATTTTGATGGCCTGGTCGACATTTTTGGTGTATGAACGAGATGCAACGACGTAGAAGCAGTCGAAGATGTCTTCGTGCGTCATTTCTAAGTTCATCAGCACCTTCTCTAAGGCCGCAAGTTTCTTGTTCTGCCCCGACGCTTCCTGTATCTTTTTAAGGACCCATCTGCTTAACAGATCGGGCTTTCCTCCCCGTGTCTCCTCCACAGGAGTTCTTAGGCACATTAAGGAGCAGCTCGAGCGCCTGCTCAACTGTCTGCCCTCGTCCGGGCGCCCGAAGGCTGATATGCTCCTCCGTGGGAAGGAGTGCGGAGGTATCAGAGAAGCCATTGAGGGCAGTGAGGGGACAAACATGCTGCGTGTTGCAGGGAGTGTCTTCTCAATGATGAAGGGCAAGAAGAAGGCAAACCCAACTCCTCTGCCCTTCAGAAACCTACAAGAATTCCGCAATGGCGGCGCTGAGATCGGGCCCGACGTCTTGGCATGCCCAGATCCCGCGCTCTTGACCTCCCTCAGGCAAAGGATCATCGGGATTCCCCAGCAGTGAACTTTCTCTCCCATAGTGTGCACCCTTCTTCCTCCTCATACCACTCTGCTCCCTCCATGGCCCTCCATCCTCCATCTTCCTCCCTCCCTTCCTGTCGCCTCCCCCGCCATACCGACCAAAAAGCCCTGTCAGGCACCTCACTTTTGCTGCCTCGATTCTCGTCTGAGGTGGGCTTGTCCATTGAACTTGACTGAATGATCCGGGTACCATGAATGATAGCCTATAGTAACTGAGGTCGGATCAGTCCGTCGGACCGGCGAGCGCCCTCCGGTGACCGGGCCGGAGTCCCATGCCGCACGGTGGATCGTAACTGAGCCTCGGAGTGACTCGAGACTCTCAGCCGGGCTGGCAGTTCGGAACCCCTGCCGGGAGTCACGGTCCGGGGCGCGGCCGCGCTCAGACGGTCACTGTCACGAGTCACACGCCGCGGCCGGGTCAACTTTGACCGTACAGGCTCTTTGCCGGAACGCCGCCGCCTGGTTACGGTATGGTAGTACCGTCGGGACTCGGACCGACGGAGCGGCTCTCACCGACCGTACGGCACGCGCGGCCGGGCGCGGCCGTGACGGCACCGTGTCCGACGGTCGGTCGGTCTGGCAGCGCCCGGGCGGCACTCAGGCTGGCAGGCTGCTGTGCCGCTCGGCAGCCTCGGACGGTCCGATCAGTTCCAATCCTTATCATGCCCGCTGACATGATTGAACTTCAAAGACGCACCGTCACGGTGAGCCTCGGACCGTAGGCAGTGCCGTCCGCCGGACACCCGGTGACCCGCTGCCGCTGCCAGTGTGCCATCATCAGACGGTTAGTACCGGCGTCGGCAACGGCACTTATCATGCCAGTGCCGTGGGCAGGGTCAGTGACCCTGGTGTGACCCGCCGCCCGACTCGAGTCTGGCGCCGTCATCCGCCGATCGGATCGCCGCGATCAAGTTGACGGTGACCTTACCGTACTGTGTGATCATCGAGTCGGGGCCTCGGCCCAGCGGCGATCGTCCGCCCGGATCGGTGCTGTATGATCCAAGCCGGGTCTGCAGACCGTCCACTGCACACAAGAAACATTGAACGTTGCTGAGCTATTGAGCAGCCCGGAAAGTTCCGAAGTTAACAAGGCACATGATGTCACTCATCACAGGTTTATGGGGGTTGAAGTGACGATCACGGAATATTGTGTCCTTGATAGAGATAAGATTATATGTCCTTGATGAAGAGTATATATTCTGGACGATAATGTCCCAGGAGAGAAACCATATAGAGAGAGGGAAGAGAGATAGATACCTGGCTCTAGATGCGACTGAGAGAGGATCGGATGGATTGGTCAAGTTGGGAGCTCGGAGGAGCTCGGAGGACCGTCGGAGGAGGTAGAGGGGGGGGGGCGGTGGCAAGGAGTAAAAAATCCTGTGCGTTGGCAGCGGAATCAAATCGAAAAGAAGTCCTTTCAAAATCCATTCTCTGCAGTCGAGCTTCCAATGTATGAGTATTTTTCATAGTGTCTCACATAAGAAAAGTGATAAGTTTAGGTATGACGCGGCTAGTTCCATCGAGGAGAGGGGGCCGAGCAATTATTTCAGTAAAGTCGCCGCCGATGCTGATAGTAGCAGCTGATTTTTAACTTAACTTTGAGCGAAGTAGTACGGAGTACGGATCTTTGACTTAACTTTGAGTAAAGTGTGTACCGTGAGTGGGCCGTCAGACTGATGACTGGCCTGAGAGGCGGATTTCAGTCGGGCCGCAGTCCGGGGGCCGGATCACTGTGACAGTTGATCCCGGCGCCAGGGGTCCGAGTCAGCAAATTTTCCGATACAAAGTTTTAGTAAAATGTGAACTAAGAAGTGTCGGTGGGCTTCATCGGGATTACGGGGGTCGGCTGAGGACCTGGGCCCCCGGCAGTGCCACGGCGGCCGCCCGGCGCCGCCGCCGCCGCGGCTCCCGATGTCGCTCACAGAGTCAGTGGCAGCGGCCCGGCCCGGTGTGGCCGCCGCGGATCAGTTCCGGGACCGGGAGCCTAGGAAGTCCAAGCCCGGCTAGGCCCTTGAAGTTCAACTCAGCCGACGTCAGATGCATTCAGGGCGCAGATCGTGTGCGTTGCCAGGCTTCCGTCAAGTTAAGCCAAGTTTAAGTCGCGTAGTAATGTCGGACCTCGGCGGTAAGGCCTGTACGCCGGTAGTGACTAGACCGTCGGTACCCTTTCCGAGCGATGCATATTTTACACTTAGACAAAGCAAAATATCCCAAAACGAAATTAAAATACAGACTAGACAGACTTGTTCGAATCCGAAGGCGACCAGCTTGGCGGCTTAGCATCGTTAACATGAGCTAGATAGTCCTCTGACTCTGAGACTCGATTCCTGGCCAAGTACAGCTCTGCCGTATGCACATTCGACGCAGTCTTGTCCAATCCTGCATCAGCAGCAGCATCAGACTGATTTTCGAACAACAATCGCAGGAAGTATACCTGCGGCGATCGGCTCGATCACCGGTTTCAACCAGCTCGTCGCTCGTGGCAGAGCCCTCGATGCCGCATAATCCACGATGAAGGGCGGCAGGAGGGGTGAGCAGCGAACCTTAGCGCTCAGCCACACCCTGTTGAAGCAGAGTTAGGTTGATAAATCAGAGAATAATAGGACAAGATCAAGAGGGTAGTAGGACAAGGCCCAATCAGCACTGACCTTGTCCATCCTTCCTCCCGTTCTGGACATTGTTCCAGGAACCAGAAACCGCGCGCCTCATCGAATGCGCTGGAGCCCATTCCGCTCCTGTCGAGCTGAAACTCTTTGAGCAACTTTGTCAGGATATGAGAACCTACAAGATGCATGAGCACCTAGCATGTTTCGGAACTTGTTCAAGCTCAGATCTGCTGTCACTTCCAACCGGAATCTGCAATGAAATCAATTAGACAAAGGTTGTTGCCAGTTCAAGTTAAAGAAGAAGTTACGGCAAACCATGAAGCAACACAACATAGTGATCATAAAAACAGATTCTTCATTTGATTCATTGGCTGCACCTGCTCAGCTTGAACCTGGCCTTGCACCGCACGCTTGACCGAGTTCCGGGAATTATGGTAGCTTCACGAACAGTGGCGATCCTCTGCACAGAGTCAACCATCATGAGAGATCAAGGTTCACACACCTGAGGATAGCGCTCAACATCTGAGAGCACTGCCATGACCGTCGGGATGTCCGCTTTGACGTCCACAACAACCAGCCCCTCTCCTAGCAACCCGCTCCTACTCTGTTTCTCCACCCTGTCGCCCGCAAGCAACCGCGAAACTTCAGCATCTGAGAGCCTTGGCAAAGGTGGCCTCCTTGGTCTCTCTGCTGCTGGAAAGATTTTCCCCCACTCCCCTTGTAAATCTACCTTGGGACGAGTCAGTGCGCTGACCAAGCCCTGGGCTCCCTGGGGGACAGTTCGTGCTCGTGCTGAAGCATCAACAAAGGTTCCTGTCAATGCCGATGGTCGTTCTAGGAAGGAACTTTTGCAGCGGGACTGCTCGAATGACGGTTGAGAACATCCTCTCCTCAATAGACGAGCTGGGGAAGGCTGGAAAGCAAAACTGCAGGATGATATGCTGATAAAGAGCGCTGCGTGTAAGAGCTTCATATCTAAGTGGACTCTCTGACTGATACCAACTGTAAGAAACATTTTATCTCCGTCTGATCAGCACAGAACCCAACATGTTCTTGGCCCTTAAAATGAAAACAAAACGAAGTCCCTGCAAGCACTAGTCAGGGCCGGCTGTCACTCAATGAAATCTCTACGGTTGAGATCATCACAATGATATGATCAAGTAAACGATTTAACAGCCGCATGCTAGCATTTATCCAGGAAAAGAGTGGACACAACCCATTTTCTAAATCAACACGTTTACGTCAAGCCATCTAGTTCCACTTTCAAACCAGGCAGAGTGGCACCCTACTGGGCTCTGGGATAGGTTGAGCCATGCTCACTTGGAAGTATCTCTTTGAGCTACATGTGCATTCAACATCTTTACAAGAACATGGACTGGTTTCTCCCTGCTAACGATAAAGTTGCTACATCCATCTTCCCCCATGTGCATCGCCTCTAAACATTCTTTCTCTCCCCCACCCCAAAACCTCTCAACCCAGCACCGGTCACCCTATAACCCCCTCAAATACACACCTCACCCTACCCCCAAGAGATATTGATTAAATAAACTAAATTATTTTCAATACTATTTGTACAGTTTCATTGTATTATCAATATTAACTAAAGAAGCAGTACCAAGATGACTACCCCTACCCAGCCATCTTATCGACATATCTCAAACGCCTACCACCACTCCAGCGATAGGACTTAAGTACCCCCACCCCTCATTCTCCGCTCAAAGGGACAATCACCCCACCCCTGCGGTTGGCAGCCCTGGCGCTTTATTACGGGATTTGGCTGACTACCGTGACTCTCTGTGAATCTTCCAATGGTACAAATTAAAACTAGTTTTGACATTATTCAGTTATTAAATGATTTTATAATACTCACTTCGGTTATCGTACCTCACAAATTCTGAAATTATCCTTTTTGGATGAATATAAAACAATTTATTTGACCAAAAAATGTTTTTGTATAGCATGCGACCGGATAGAGGGTAGGGTAGGGTACCCTACCTTTGCTGTGGGTGATGTTTTACAGGGTCGTACATAGAAGCAGCACGTAGGGACCTACCCCGTGGTACTTGCAAGCTCCTTATGTGTCTCATGACGAGGATCCATAACCCACGGTGATGCGGCCTCACTGCAGGCACAGTGATCGAGATCGAGAGTCGGGCGTGACTCAGTGCCACGGTTGAGCGCCGGGGGAACTTAAGTACTTCTGAGGCTGGCCCGCCGGCCCGCCCGGCCGACGGTGGGCCCGGTCCGGCGAGCCGCCCGCGCCGGGCCCGGCGGGCCCGGAGCCTGGGAGTCCCGGAGGCTTTTACTTTGCCGCATGATTTTTTTTCACTGAATCTGCGGCAGTTCCGGCCGGCCCGGACTCCGCGGCTCCGGCCGGGACCGGCGTCGGACGCGCGATGATCCGACCGGACTGACGGCGGGAGTCCGACGCCGGAAACAACCGTTGAACCGTTCAAGCCCGCCACGGGTCGTACCGTAGTACCCGGCCCCGGCCGGCCGGGTCGGACTCCCGGACCGTAGCACGGGCCTCAGTCCGGCCGCCGCCGGGCGGGCCGCCGGTATATCCGAGTATGAAGACTCGAGGGGGAGGGGGGGTGCCACGGTGGTCGATCATCCTGAAAGGATTGAAAAATGACTAGATGGTAAGGCCTGAGCGGGACGAAGTACGGTATGTGACCGAATACGGGTGGGGTGATCACTACTGGGGGTAAAGGTGCTGTTTTTCCTTGTGATTGGGAAATTTGGGAGCAAAGTATAGATGATAGGTTATTTTGAATATTGATGTAATTGAGAGATTTTGATAGTTGCCATATGTTAAAATGCCTGGAGAAAAGGTGTTCAGGAAAGGGGGTAGGGGTGAAAAGATTTCATGAACCAAGGGGGTAAGCCAAGGCATGGCTATTTGGATATTGAAGAAATGTTGACAATATTTTGTAAATATGTTATATTATTTGAAATTTTGTAGATTATTTACAAATATTCAACTGTAATTATATCCAAAGTATTTCAAAAGATCTCATCTGCCACCCTCTGCCGGCAAAATCATTCCCAGCATTCCCCACAAGGCGACTGCTATGCCGCATGAAGGGTGCAGGTAGTGAGAGGGATAGCTTGCAATTATCTTAGCGGGCAAACACAAGCAGCATCAAAAAGAGACCATCAATCTGCAACATATCACTTGACACCGAACAGCCCATGACGAGGGCCGTGATAGGAAGCCCATTTGCTTGTTAGAACGGGAAAGTTTCTTGAAAGGGGGCTAGACAAAGTTGGTAACGATGGAGAAATCCACAAGCGAGGAATAACATCGAGTCATCTGGACGTTCCGAAGACATTCACTCTCATGAGCAGCATGGAAATGACTGCGGGTGATGACGCCAGTGAAGGATCGGATTTCAAAGTGCTTGCGAAACTGAAGGAGGAGTCCGAAGGTGAGGCTGGCTGGGACAGTGCCAGTGCTTCCATGGCAACTAGCCTAGACAGTGCGATGCACTACTCGCAAGAAATCGCAAGAGAGAAGATTGGCCGAAACAGTAAACCTTCGATGGAAGCGGCCTCGACAGAAGCGATATACAATGGCCACCACGGGATGTCCGAAGAGGATGTGAAGACTGCGCTGGACAACATCGACCAGATATTTCCCCAGAACCTTCATCTCAGTGAAAAGAAAAGCAGCTCTGGGTTGAAGAACCCGTCAGCTGACAAGCTTGAAAGTCTCGACAGCAGCTCGAGGCTCCTCAAGGATCGTCGAGGTCGGGTAGACAGCACTGCACGGCCTCAAGAGTTCTTTCGAGGGAAAGACTCAAAAAAGAAAAGGTTGAATGATGGACCAGATCTGGGTGAACCGAAGACCGTATCAGTGAACTTCGAGAAATTCAAGTAATCAACATGTTCTTTTTTTGCGATCAGGGAGTGAGACGGTATTGCAGGAAACATCATATTAACTGCCCTGCATTGCGAGAGCGTTTAGACTCCGGTGCCATTGATGTTTCAACTGTGGATAGAGTTCAGAGGGAGTTTGCTCGACACGATAAGGTTCGCACGCTTTCAGCCTCCTCCTCGAGGCCTCACCTTGGTTTTCAGCTCTCGCAAGCTGAACTCAGCAGTCTACATGAACTAGTTGACAGGTGAGACTTGATTTTTTTTATCACTTCATGCAATCTAATCTGCACATAGGGCACAGGATTTTCATAGAAACAATGATTTGAAGGAAGCTCAGAAGCTGTACATGAAGGTTTCACTTGAATGTGCTCAACTTTCTTCGTCACATTTTTTGTGCTTTGAAGGTGCTGTTGAGCGATCCGCTTGATTGGGATAGTCTGTGCAACCTCGCTAAGATTTCCTTTGGAATGGGAGAATATGACAAGGTACTCAATCCGAAATTTCCACAAGTACACAACGTGTCATTGATATATCGCCCTTTGACAGGCGAAAGAGCTGTTCGAAAAGGCTCTTGTGATTCGACCAGAGAGAGACAAGACTATGTATTATCTTGGCCAAGTGCTTGTTCGGATTCATGCAAAGGGAGGAGATACGGACGAGCTGAAGCGTGCAATGGTCTTGTTCGAGCAGGTACGTTGAGTGAACCAGTCTTTCCGGTTCCAACATGCGGAGAGTTGACGTGGAATCAGGTTGTCAACGGTTACAAAGGAGTGATCAAAGGCGACACATGCGACCAATCGACCTACCACAACGCCATGGCGATGCTCGGATTGGTGCATCAGGAAGTTGGAGAGTTGGAGAAGGCAGAGGAGCTGTACCAGGTTCACATCTGTGCGACTTGATGTGCTTCGCCTGTTGACCTTGCGCTCAGCTCGTGCTGAAAGAAGTGCCCAATCACATCCTGACGCTGGATCATCGGTGAGGGATGAACGAGGATGAACTTTTTGTTCTGATACGAGGGACAGATGCGCTCTGAAGAGCCTCCGAGGGCTCAAGGACGAGGCTGCCAAGGATCACCTGCACGTCATCGAGCTCGATCCTGGACACACGAAGCGCGTCTGCCCGTACCTGGACAGCCTCTTCCCCAAAGACTCTGAGATCCTCCACCCGATCAACGACATCAAGGTGCGTCCTTACGGACTGAGTCGCCATGGGAACGTGTGAGCAGCCGGCTGACGCGAGTTCGCTGGCAGGAACGGTTCGAGAAGTTCGATCCTTCCTTCAACGAGGGCACCAAGAAACGCTCGTGGCTCAAGTCAGCGCTACATGGCTTCAAGAAGAAGGTCAAAAGGATGATCCACCACAAGAAGACTTAGTCGCTGCTGTCGCGATTGATCAGCGATGTCTCGTAACCTTCTTTCCTGGCTCTGTGCGGACTGGCGGGGGAGGAGTTTGTCGTTATAGAGCATAGAGGGGTAAACTTCATCAGCGCATGACGTCTCGTCCCCTTCCCTTCCCCATCCTTTGTGCCGTCCCTCACGCCCATTATCATTTCGATGCGACTCCCCAGGGCAGTCCCCAGGGTTTTATGTGTTGCGGGGAGGCGGATTTGTAATAGGGGAGGGAGGCAGGGGAGAGGGAGAGGAGGCAGGGGGGAGGGAGGAAGATTGGTGTGGGGGTGGGGGGCGGGACAAGGAGGACGGGGGTAAGGGAGGAACAAGTCGGAACGAGACGGGGGGAAGGAGTGAAAGGATTAACAAAGGGAAGGAGGTGGATATGACAAGGCGGGCAAGAAGCTAGTGAATTCTCAGGCAGCAAGGGGTGAGATAGATTGTAAGGGGAGACTGTGCCCTGGGAGGGAGAAGAAACCCAGCAACAAGACGAGAAGCAGCGGCAGCTGGTATGGAAGGGGAATGGAAGTCTTCATGAGATTACTCAGGTAGCTCGTTCACGTGAGAGGAGATAGGAGCAAGAAGGAGGGCAGGAGCCGCTCCTTTCGAGCACTCAACTGATGTTGAACTTTGTTGCTAACGGTATGGTCGAAGGTGGTGATGTCGATAAATGGCCCAGCTCAGCTCACGTTGGTTGCCTTTTGCGGCATGTTTGCAGTAGCAGATGCATTCTGTGCAACATACAGCGCAAGGATCGTTCAAGATCGATGCCAGCCTCCTCCACTGGTCCGAAAGGATCAAACACGCGTGGAAAAGAGCAATGTCTGGATTTCTAGACCAACCGCTAGCCCTATCTCAACTCTGCGATCATGTTCGTCACAAGAGAGGAGGAGTAAGGTTGCTCAGTCTACCATGAGCTGGATCAAGTCCGCCGTGATCGGACTGAACCTCTGCCCATGGGCGAAGTCGGCGCTGAGAGAAGGGCTGATTGATGTTCGCGTCTCACAAGCGACCGACGTCGCTTCTCTCATGGACGAGGTGGTTGGAAACATCAGGGAAATGGCAGACAGCGAGGGAAGGGAGACCAGGATCATTGTTACAGAGAGCTTGCTCGGCAACTTTGAAGACTACAACAAGATCGCCAACAAGATTGACAAGAGTGATCTCATTGACTGTTGTCCTGTTCTAGTCCTGAATTCGTTTCTTTGTAGAGATTGATCAGATGGAATGCAGAGGCATCATTCAGCTAGCCACGTTCCATCCTCAGTACCAGTTCGGCGATGCAGAAGAAGATGACGTGGAAAACTGGACCAACAGATCACCATATCCGATGTTTCATCTTCTGCGCGAGAACGAGATTGAGGACGGTGATTTTCCTGCAGATGAGGACTCGAGTTGTTGTTCTCTAACACACTCGCACAGCGTTGGACGGCTACGATGACCCCGACGAAGTCTGGCAACGGAACATCAAGACGGTCAAGGAGAAGGGAAAATGCTTCATGCAGCAGTTGTTGGAGAGGTCTGTGAAGCTTGTCTAATCTGCCGCCGCACTTACTTTCTGTGTCTTGACCCGTTTGACTTGTTGTTTGCTATCAAGACGCTCTGTGTGTTTTGGAGCCGGGATCTCGTTGTGTTGATGTATTACTTGTCGTCGTGTGTCATTGGCGCCATCAATGGTGACTCGTACATGCCCGGCAGATGCAAACTTTAGGGCTCACAGTCAGTTACGGCGATCTCGGAAGAATATGCTGCAACTTGTCAGTCAACTTGATCGGATCGCTCTCTTTCCCAGACCGACTCTCTTCCTCCTCCCTCCCTCCCTCCCTCCCTCCCTCCCTCCCCTCCCTCCCCTCCCTCCCCTCCCCTCCCTCCCCTCCCTCCTGGCATTACCCTGGACTCCTTCTGCTCTTCTCACTCTCTCACATGTAAACTTGATGCAATGAAAATCGCAAACACTTCGTATTGAATCCGACAGAGTTTCACCGCTGCTTCTCAGCCTCTGAGACTCAGTCTGATGCCAGTGCGATTCAATGATGCAAGCCAAACATGGGGCCCTAGATTGGCACTCACATGAGTCACCCGTGCAGTGCCGCGCTAGCCTAGTAGGGGGGCCGGGGCCGCCCGCCGCCGCCGGGGTTACAGTCACTGAGTGCCGAGCATGACTAGATAAGATCCGTAACGAAAGTAACGGTACGGCAGGTGCCAGCAGGGTGGCATGGCGTGAAAAAAGGCGCCGACGGAGGAAGGAAGCATACGGAAGCGGAGGGGAGAATGGAGGAAGAGGGCTCGGCGAGGGTACAATGAGGCGAGGAAGGATGGGAGGGAGAGGGGAGAGAAGAAGGGAGGGAGGGGAAGAAAGAAGATAGGAGTAGGATGTTGAGGAAAGAAATGATACGGGAAATGGAAGCTAGAGGAGGAAGGTGTGAAGGGGGAACTGGTTGACGGCAATGTGACTGAGCGGATGAAATAAAACATGGTGTCCTGTCTCGGGTGGATGACGATATGCTACCGGCGGTGCAGTTGCTGCCAAGTCGCAGTTGTAGACCAGTGTAGAATGATTTGTTTTCCATGGATGAAGGAAATTCTTTCTAATCTTACATTGTGATTTTGAATTTGGAGAGATGACAATGGCATTGTGTTTCAGGTTGTGCAATATACCAGGGGTCAACTTGACTTGAGAAAGCCACGAGCTCTACGCTCCACTTCCGAGATGATTTGTTGAGGGAGGAGGAGACTACCGAGCATGGCGAACAGAAGGAATGGTAAGGAATCTTGGTGCATGCTTGACAAACGAAGGATCTCCGCACTTGTGATGACATTGTTGGCAGAGGCGAAGGCTCCTCCTGGGGAAGAACGGATGAGGAAGGAACGAGACGTGGGGGGGCATAGTAAGGAGGAACATCTTGTTCAATGGAAGAAGGTATGATTCCCTTGTATCCTCTGCTGTGGAGGAAGCATGACACATTTTCTGTCCTATTCACTCCCTCCTCCAGCCCCTCTGTTTCCTCCCTCCCCCTGTCCCTCTGTTTCCTCCCTCCCCCTCCCTTTATGTTTCCTCACCTCCAACGGTCCCCCTTCATTACCCCCTGTTTTTCTCTTTGCCATCCACCTCTCCTCGATTCTTCTAACATGCACTGCAGATCATTCCGTGCATCTGCTATGCCTTGTCTTCCATCTACATGACACTTGCACAGAAGTATGTTGTCATCAACGCTTCCGAAGTCAAGGCTCTTTTTCTCTTCTACCAGAACGCCGCAGCCTTGCTGATGTTCCTCCCGACCTCTCTCGGCCTCCTTCAACGGTTCCACATCCTCCCCTACACCTTTTGGGACACTCGCGCGGCTTTTTCTGTCCTCCCCCTTGGTATCACCTACTCCATCATGCTCTACAGCTCCAACTGGGCTCTTTCCCTCTTGACGGTCCCCATGGTCTCAGTCCTGAAGAACATCGGCCCTGTAGTTATCACTCTCTTCGAATCTTGGACGGAGGGAAAGGAAGTTTCTATCAGCGTCTTCCTCTCCCTGCTGATGCTGGTGTCCGGCGGGCTGGTGGCAGCGTATAACGACCTGATGTTTGACGGCTGGGGTTATTTGCTCATGTTCTTCAACGTGCTTACCAACGTGGTGCATGTGAATCTGACGAAGAGGATGAGGAGTTTGTCTATCAGAAAGGAGGTTGTCCTGCACTATCAGTCGATCTTTATGTGCATTTTCCTCCTCCCCGAGCTCATGAACCAGGACCTTAATGTCATTGTCAACGGTTTGCGGGATCAGCCACTTGTGGTTCAGATGGCGTTCTTCTCGACTGGAGTGAACGGGATCGTGATCGCACTTTGTACCATGTGGTGCATCGAGGCGACTTCTGGCAGCACCTACTCCATGGTGGGAGCTCTGAACAAGATCCCGTCCTCGATCCTTGGAATATTCATCTTCAGGTCTGCTGTGTGACATGGCTGTGGTTGCATCGGCTCGTTTGTCTGCTGTGTGACATGGCTGTGGTTGCCTCGGCTCGTTTGTCAGCATACAGTTGTGTGTTGGACACGTTTAGATTATCATCATTGTTATTGATGTGCATGCTTGTGATGTTGGAAGGTTAAAGTCTGGTGACGTCATTGCAGAAATCCTGTTAGCGTCCTAAACTTGGTTGGAGTTGGAATTGGGCTGATTGGAGGAGTTGTGTTCAGGTGAGGAGAGGAGTTGTGTGGATGGTACGAGAAGTCAGTTGCGATCCTGACGTGTGTTTGCAGTCTGGACAAGCAGATTTCTGCGAGAATAAACCGCTGGAGAAAGTTGGAGTGAGGAGGAGGACCGTGGAGGGGATGAAATAGGATCATAGCAATGAATGGGAACCCCCGATCAACGGTGATACGAGTGGAATGTATGCAGAACACAGGCAACGACAAGATCTTGTGGTACATTTTATTAGTTGGGAACCTAGAAATCACATGCCTGGAAATACAAACTCGCCGTTCACTTTGCTAGCTGCTCTTCTCTTAACGCTTCCGTTCTCCCTCGCCTTGCTGCTGCTACTGTTGGGTTCGATTTGACTCATTATGTTTGATGTCAGATCTTGGAAACCTTTGTTGAAGAGACTGCAACAACAAATCATCACCCATTTCAAACCTGCAAGTCCATGCAAGTCAATTTACCCAAAGATATCTTCTTCCTCCTGGCCTGTTGTCATTCTGTCAGAAAAAAACATGAAAGACATCCAAACAGCTTTCTGACCTGCAGGTTCTAAAAGTAGGCCCTTTGATCTCGCAGAGCTGCGCAACTTAGTCAAACTTCATCTGTGAGGAATGGAACCTATTCACTTTAAGATGTTCGCCTCAATCTCCGACAGCTGTCGAGAAAGTTTGGACAGCTTCTGATGGACTTCGTGCTGGTCCTGTGGGAAGGGAGAGGAGAGAAAAGCAGTGTTAACACAACCCAACTTGAGACAGATGAAACTTCAGACCTCGTCACCGTCACTCTCAACCTGCTCTTGGTTGCAGTCCGTCTCGATGTATTCGAACGATCTGATGCAGAGATCGGAAATGTCAAGACCCATAACATGACGATCTTCAACTTACATCCTCGGCTCTTCCTCTTCTTCCTCCTCCTCCTCCTCCTCTGCTTGCGCTTGTTGCTCCTGACATCACCCTCAATGGTCAACGTTCTCGTCTCCACTTTCGATGCTCCACCTTGAACTCCTTGCTGGCAAGGAAAGGGAAGGTACGGAAGAAGAACAATTCGATCTGATTGTAAAAGAAGACGACGATACCTTGTGCATCTTTTCAAAACATGGAAGGCAAACATCCAAGACAAGAATCATCATCATAATCATCATCATCATCACCATCACCACCACCACCACCACCACCTCACCAATCACGTAGATGCCCATGACGATGATGACGAGCCCGAGAACGTTCACGACGTCCAGCACGTTTGCAGCAGAGGCGGCGGCAGAGCACTGAAGATTCCCGATCTCGGGGATGTACTTGTGTTCCAACATGCTGATCACCCCGGACTTGCGCTGCTCCAGCAGGACCTGAGAAAGTGGAAAGTGCCATGGCAGCCTGCTCGACCCCAGCTGGCCCTTGTCGGCCCGGAAACCCACCCCATACCCAAAGGGCTTGAAGGCATCTCCCACGAGCACCAGCTCCCCCCACACCGGGGTCCACTGGTTCCCCGTGCTGACGCAAGTTTGCGGGGTCCCAGTAGCGTCTGCTGAGGCAGAGGAGCAGAGGCAGGAGGCCTCGTCAGTGTAGGAAGGGTCTGAGCAGAAGCCTCCCGGGCTGCCGCAGAGGCCTTTAGCATAGAAGTCTTGCGCTATGCTGTCAAGCACGACAGGCCCATCGTAGAAGGTGCAATCAGCATCCTCTCGGTACACCATCATCAGGCAGTCCATAAGGGAGGGGGCGGGGATCGAGATGAACTTGGCGGAGGGGAACTTGGAGCTTTCAGAGTCGAGATAGGCCTTGACTGAGATGTCGGAAGTGAGGTAGCAGACGCGGGTGGTCGGGCGGTACTTGGCGGATCTAGTGTCAAAGAGGTCCTCTACCCTATCGAGAGCCGTTTCCGTGTTGATGTTGGCCAGGAAGCTGGCGAGGTTGCCGGTGTAGACGGCCTGCAGGATGATAGCAAAGATCAGCTGACCCATGAACAATGTCCGCCCTGGGTTCGTCTCCATGACCAGGTCCGCCGCTCCGAGAATGACGCTGAACGACCAGTAGATTGACGTCTGAATCTCCTTGAACAGCCTGCTAGGGATCGACTCGTTCTTCCCATTGCCCTCGCTGACGATCAGGCAGGCGGCAGCTACCAGCACCTCAATGAGGATGCAGATCCACAGCACGTAGGAGAAGGGCTGCGCCCATGCCATGAGGTCTGCCGGTACTTCCTTCTTCTTGACCACCAGTCGGAAACCTCTTGACATGTACCCAACGGTCATGTCAAAGTTCGTCAGGCGGGTATTCACGATCTTGTGCGCCCCTGCGGTCAGGCATTGGTTGTTGGGGCAAAGAACCTCGTCGTCGACCACTCCCGTCACGTTGTTGAACTTCGACCCTCCGAAGAACGATCCCTCCACCTGCACACACCCTCCCTCTGATATCCCTCCGCACCCCAGCCGAAAGTCGCCAGCTGGGCAGGTCGAGCACGCTACACACTCACCCTGTGAACCTCCAGAGCATCCTTTCCTCCAGGTCCCTTGAGGGCAGGGAGAGTCCAGACAAGACAGGCAAGAGGTCGCATACGTAGAGTTGTCTGTGTTGTAGGTGGCAGTAGGGCAGCTCTTGCAGGTTCCCGGCTGATCTCCTCCACACCCAGCTCGGTAGAAACCCGACGGGCAAGGAGCGCAGCCGACACAGGAGACGTTCTCGCCAGTTGTAATGTACTGAGTGCTAGAGCAGGAAAGGCTCGTCTGTACGATCTTCATGCACAACCTGTCCTGAGTAGTTGTGCAGCCCTTCACTTCTACCGGGGTCGCTCCCGAGCAGGGGGCCGAGCACGGAGCACAATGGTCCCTGTAGTCGTAGGTGGACGCGGTGGTGTTGGCAGGGCAGCTGACACACTGTCCAGGGCTGAGGTTGGAGCATCCAACACGGTACATGCCAGGAGCACAGACGTCGCATCGCACACAGAACCCGAGCTCCTGGTTGCCACAGCCCTTGCGATAGAACCCGGCAGGACAGGCGTCGGCCTTACACTCAGAGCTCTCTCCCAGCATCTGGAAGGCCAGGTCCGGCGATGGCTGTGAGCAGACGCCCGAGCTGTAAAACTCTGAGCGCAGGCAGGGGTACAGGAAGCGAAAGCTGCAGCCCAGCTCCTTGGAGAGCGTGTCGAAGAGCTCCATGGTGAGCCCGGAGAGCCTCCCGTTGCCGTACGTCCGTCTGCATGCGGGAAGTGTCAGGCCAGGGAGAGAGACGAGAAAAAGAAGAAGATGAAAAGGGAGGGAGCGACGAGAACAGAGGGGAGGAGAGAGAAGAGAGAGAGAAGAGAGAGAGAGAGAGAGAGAGAGAGAGAGAGAGAGAGAGAGAGAGAGAGAGAGAGAGGAGGAGGAGGGAGGGAGGGAGGGAGGGAGAGGGAGAGGGAGAGGGAGAGGGAGAGGGAGAGAGAGCGAAGAAGAGATGAGAAACAAGCAGAAGGAGCAATGACAAGAAGAAGATAACGTGAAGACACATGTAAGTTTGGTTGCTATTACGATTGATTGGTGTTGCCCGGATCGCCATTGAGCGCTTCGAAGTCATCTATCACAACGAATGGTGGAACATGGTAGGTAATGACGACAAAAGTTTTCCCTCTGAAAGGATTTGTCGTCGGGCTAGTATAATCTATTCCCAACGGCCAGGAGTAGGTGCTGGAAAGTATACCACGGTAAAAGATAGAGAATCTTACAGCTGCGGGTTCACCTGACTTCCCTCACATTGAGGAAGGAGTCCATGGGGAGCGCGTGAGAGTCATGGCCGAAGAAACCTCTCGATGCATCGGAAACTGGATGACGTTAATCAGAGACGTACAGGGGTCGAAATGGTGCATACCTTGAGCGAACAGGATAAAGAGAATGGTCGAATAAAACATCTCCCTCATTGACATGGTAGCCAGTGTGTGAGTTTCCTCATCAATTGCCTGGATCTGCGAAGAAGCATTACCAAGACACGTGGACAAACGTCTTGCGTCAATGTTGATGTTTGGAAGCTGTGCGTGTTACGACAAGATATAAGAGACGTATTCCATGAAAGAGCACAGCGCAGAGGAAGAGCAGATAGGATGGATGGGAAGAAGGACGAATATCTTCTAAAAGACCAATCGGGAAAGAAGTCGTTCGGCAAATTCTTCACAAGGAAGGAAACAGAAGAGGCAAAAGCAAACATGCAGGGAGGGGAGAGAAGGAGAGCCTGAGAGACGGGGAGGGAGAACTGTGGGCAAGGATAGTGAGGAGAACAACAAGGAAGAGGAGGGAGGGAGAGGGAGGGAGAGGGAGGGAGAGGGAGGGAGGGAGAAAGGGAAGGGAACGATACAAGGTCCCTCCATAGCGAGGAGGTAAATTCGTCAATGGGCCATCAGATATGGGGGTCGTTGGGTGGTTTTGAACCCCTTGCTTTCCCCTGAAAATGATAGTAAAAGCGGGTGAGTACTGTGAAAGGGTGGGGTAGATTGACAAGTTTGAAAGGGGTAGTTAAAATATCCGTTACGACATCTGGACTTCAAGTAACGGTCTCTTGCTTCGGATTTTGAAAAGAGCTCAGGGGGTGGTGGTCTTTGAGTACCCCTACTTTGAAATTGTAAAAGGGGGGTGATATTGATACGGAAGGGGTGGAGTGTCCGATCTATGCGAACTGGCCCGACAGTGATGTTGAACGACATGATGACGAGGGTAAGGAGCAGGAGCAAGAGCAGGAGCAGGAGCAGGAGCAGGGGCAGGAGCAGGGGCAGGAGCAGGAGCAGGAGCAGGAGCAGGAGCAGGAGCAGGAGCAGGAGCAGGAGCAGGAGCAGGAGCAGGAGCAGGGGCAGGAGCAGGGGCAGGAGCAGGAGCAGGAGCAGGAGCAGGAGCAGGAGCAGGAGCAGGAACAGGAGCAGGAGCAGGAGCAGGAGCAGGAGCAGGAGCAGGAGGATGTACTTAGCAAGAGATAGGAACCGAGAGTTGTAGATCACTCAATGAACACTCGAATCGTCTGAAACGTTCTCAGGCCCTTCGGGATGATTCAACCCTAGTTGTGTTTGACGCGAAGGAGCTGAAGGAAGCTGAGGTCAGGCCCCTGATACGCGTGGAGCCTTCTCATGGTGTTACAGCGGCGATCGAGAGAGACATGGCAGAGGATTTGTGATGCAATCAAGTTCAATACCAATGTGAGGGATACAGACTCGTTGTTGTCTCTCAGTCGTTGTGCTGCAGATTCGAGAGCTGCTGCTACGAGACTGTTCGATCGATGACATGGGAGCTGTCGTCCTGTCAGAGGGCCTTGCACAAAACAACCGTATTGTTCATGCAGACTTGCAGTATAACAACATCGGAGATGCCGGGGCATCTGCCATTGTTTGTTGATCACTGTGCGATGACAAGTATGATGTTTCATGACAGGCTAGAGCCTTGAAGAAGAACACGAGATTGCAGACTCTGAACCTTTGTAATCAAAGAAGTCCAAGTGAGATGTTATGAGCTAGGAACATCACCACTACTAACAAGGGCTGTAAGTTTGGAGGATGAGCACAATATCCGATTTTGAGGATGCTTTCAACAACAACATCACGTTGGTTAAGGTAATGGGAACTTGTTGTGTTTCACCGTGAAAGGTTCACTGGACATGCTGTCAGATTCTGTGGGACCAAGACGCTGCGTCGACACAAAGAATCGCGAAATACATCATGAGGAATGTCGAGATAGCAATCAGAAGAAACAACGGACAAAGATTCGATGACCTGATCCCCCACGCTCAGCTTACAAAAGTCGGTGGGAGATTGGATATGCTTGGTTCTTCCAACTAACGGCAGAGGACAGGTGATGAAAACATAGTAAAAGCTCAACAGCCGTCAGATCATTTCTTGTTATATCATGCAAACAGCTCTAGCGTAAACGATACAAGCAGTCGTACGAGTCATTCTCGTGCTGACGATGTGATGAGCAAGTTCAAAGAAGGATTTATGTTGATCGATGAGATGAGTTCATCTTTCAAGGCAACAAAGAAAGTATCCTCTCCTTCGTCCCGTTTGTCTTCCTCCTCACCCTCTGAGAAAGGATCGCTCGGTCTGGTTGTCAGGGGGAACAGGGTAGAGGAGGTGATAGAAGGAGGCCCTGCTTTCTATGTGGGGTGTATCGCTGCGGGTGACAGCATCATGAGCGTCGAAGGACGCGATGGGGACATCTCGACGTGCCTGGAGGAAGGAAAACGAGGATCCGTGGTGGGGCTTTTGATCCAGAAAGATTCTCTTGGAGGAAAAGAAGCGGCGAAGACAATGAAAGTTGACCTGCGTCGAGTTTCAGCAGAAGAGATAACAAGTCGAAGGGAATGCACGAAGCTCTAGATGGTGATTCAGACATGTGAAAGAGTTATTGTTTTGTAAAAAGTGCCCAGGTTTGTTGCAAGCAGCAATCTTCCGCAAACTTGCGGGTCAAGCGCATGAACTGAAGTTGATCCAAGAAGCTTTGATCTTACTAGAGCGAGAGAGGCAGCAACAAGATATCAGAGATGCGAAGATGAGAGAAGAGAGTCTCAAGAAGTTGGTGCGTTGAGGCCTGTCAGAGACTTGTGTTGTGATTGTGAGTTTTTGCAGATTGGTTGTCTGAGTGAAATTTCTTTCCAAATGTCACAATCGCTGTCGGAAAGTGATGTCTCGGAGAAGAGGAACGAAGAGAAAAGCAAGCTGGTCAAGAACAAGATTGAAGAGCTGAGGTGATGTGTTTGTATTCGTTTCATCTCCTCACTTGCAGCGCAGGATTCGAGAAGAAGTGCATCGAGAGTACGAAGACAAGATGAAAAGTTTTGTGGAGGAGAAAGAGAAGGAGCTGGAAGAGAGAATGAAAATGTTGAAGGTGGAGAAGGACAGGGAAGTAGAGGAACAGGTTAAGAACGTGATGCAAGAGAATGAGTTGTTGAGGACGAGGTTGAAGATTGAACAGTTCCAGGTGAACCTTTGCGATGATTCTTGAGATGTGTTCAGAATGTCTCACGTGCGAACAGAATCAAATCCTGCAAGTGAACCTCACAAGATCGGATCAAGTCAGAACAGCTCAATTCCACGAGTTACAACGACAAGGAGAATTGAGACAAAGAAGGAGCGATGATATCGACAAACATGACAATGGCGATAACGCTTCAACTGCATGTGATGAAAAATCTCAAATATCACTGTTCCGTTGACATCTGCCTTGCAGTGAATGATTCCGAATACCCTATCTCACTTGACGCAAGCTTGTCAAACCTGAACTCAGGTATAGTTAAGAATCTTATGGACACCATTCCCCTGATTTGTTCTCAGGTGAATTGTTTTCTTCTTTCGACATTCCTCTACCTGTAGCTCCTTTCCCAACTCCAGCCAAGAGGCCTTGACAAAGGTCTATAATGTCTTAGATGTTCGTGAGAGATCTGTGGAAATATAATGATACTGATGGTGAGACATTTCGATTTCATCGCTCAAGTCAGTCATTCATTTACTCTTTCATGAGATTGAACATTTCGAGAACTTGTTTCATCATGAAAAATCTTCAAGCTTTGGGTCTGAGACGATCCAATCGTTGAAGAGGAGCCGATGAGAAAATAGCAACCTTGTTCGAGTCGTGATGAGATTCGTTTGAAGATGACCAAACAACAATCATCTCACCTCTTCGCCCCCTGATATGACTCTGCAGACTGCTTACACTTGTAATAAGTCTGTGAATCAGCTTCCATTGTTGTTGCCTGCTGTTTGCAAACACGACAGGTATCTCGAAACAACTGCATCATTGCTTTCTTCGATAATCTTGACGTCTTTTCCGGCGAGCTGATGGCAGTGCCCTTGGTTTTGTTGTCAACTCACTTCCTAATCAGAGATGAACATTTATCACATGTCTTCCATCAAGGATTTCACAACTGTCATCTCCATTCGACCTCGAAAGATCGTCACATCTCAGGAGGGTGAAGAACGATTGTATTGTTTGCACCAAGACATGCAGTCTTCGTTGTTAAACGTTGCTCCTCCCCCTTCACCAGTGAAGATTACACCTGGGTTGAAAGATCAAATCAGCATCGTTCTCTATGATATGTTTGCAAACCCTCGTCAAGTTTCACTTGCGTGCACATCACGGATGGATGATGAATCTTGAAAGGTTGCAGATCGTTGAGGAGCTGGAGAACAACAAGAGGATGAAGACATATCACATCATCGTCCACATAAACTCCATCATCATCCCCATCATCATCCCCATCATCATCTCCAACATCATCCCAATCATCATGATTCAACCATGACGTCTACCGGGAAAGTGGAGGCATTGAAATCCTGCAGTCGACAACAAAACGCACGAAGACAATGTGGCCTGAGAACTCAATCATCTCTTGGAATGAAATCAGGTACGAGCATGTCACGATGTCTGACCTGGAGAATTTTCTACCAACAGTGATTGATGTTATGAAGATCTGATGAGATTTCAGCAGATATGAGCAGAGAAATTTCTCACTGACGGGATGAGCTAAGATGGACATCAAAGCACCTTGAACCCCCAGAGCGTTCCACCTGCTCCGATCTGTGAGATGACAAAGGAGAAAGAAGTGGAAGACGATGGGAGATTGATCTGAGATGAAGAAGAAGGGAGAAAACGAAAGAGCCCCCACCCAATGCAAGCATGAGAAAGAGAGGACAGGGAGGAAAGCGGTGCTACTGGTTGGGTGAACAAGGGGAAGGAGGAGGAGATAACTGAGAGGTTGAAGACGTGTACCATACTTGGCGATTTTGTCGCTGCAGCACATAACATGTCCGAGACCGCTCTAACATCAGGGTAAGATTGCTGCATCATTAGGTGGGAAAGGAGAAGAATGGAGAGGGGGGGGGAGGTTGGTCGGAAGGTCAATGCTAGCATCAGGACAAACATCACCACCTTGGCACTTGCAGTTCCAGGAGCAAGCATACCCTCCCTGCTGCAAGTCACTTTCGACTCTCCTTCATGACCTGCAACCGAGTTGAGAGTCGGAGGACAAGAGTCAAACTTCCACCTCCTTCATCTGCTTTTCTTTGTGCGCCAGGGTCTTTCTTGACCAAGACTGCCACTTGCCCTTCCTCCCTGAACACCATTCAGCTCCTTGTTGGAACCACTTACCCACACCTTGCTTGGATCAGTATTCTTGGGTGCTCGTTGTTTTCCCATCTTCAATATAACACACTTCAATTTGGCAGAAGACATCTCAGGACTTTCATACAGTTCTCCTTCAAATCTCAAACTTGAGTTCGGCTTTGCCCATCTTTTCAGCGTCGCATTCCCGCATGGCTGCGACAGGCTCGAAGGCAACTGTACATCGAAGCATCCATACCTGAGAGCTTGTGTAGAGATGCAAAGTCAGACTTGCACGGAGAACGAAACGAGACGAGACGTTCTGTCGACATTCAGTAATCAACGAACATGGAAGCAAGAAGTTGTTCATCCACATGAAACTCGAAGATGCTACCCGACCCATCTGGATCTGCTATGAGAGTCACCAACTTCACCCTTACACCATGATTGCACCTTGCTCACATTTTTGTATCTCCCGATACAAGTAACGCTGCCTTGAAACCACAAGAGCGTCATCTCCCCCCTTCAATAATCTTGATCTACAGCGCACGGCGAGCGAGGACTTCGGCATGGCTGTCCCGGACGACTCGCCCTTCCTGAAAGTGCTGCCTGTCAAGGAGCATAACAGAACACTTGACATTCTAACAGCATCTTCGAGCACATATTCACGAGCGGCAATCTGAACAACCTCGTGTAAGCGTTGTGTTCACTACAGCAGGGGAGAAACTTACCTTGGTTCCGGTGCCCAACGAGACCACAAGGAGAGAGTCGTCCTTGGAGTCATGCAGCAAGAACGCTGCTAGCACCTGCAATCCCACAGTCATGTCGATGCGGCTCCATTACCATCTGCGCCGTCACCGTCTGCATTGAACTTTCCCATCGTGTCTTGTTGGTCACTCTCAGGTATTCTTGAATGGAAGCTCTTGCGACCTGCCACCTGTCTCAGCATGCCGGTACAACTTGCGATGTTTTTCTACCCTGTCGGCAAAGGAGCATGTCGAGGTTCTGCTCTTCTCGGCATTGCGAACTGCGGTCGACATCATGGCTGCATGAGGACTGAAGCTTTCTCTCGCTCCCAGGAGGCTGATCGCACTGTTGAGTAAAAGTTGAGTAACAAACTTGACTTCCTCACCAGCAGTGCGGCCACGGTCACCGGGCCCGGGGTGGAACCGCCGCTCAGCCAAGGGCGGGCCCGGCCCGGCCCGGGGCCTGGGGCCCGGCCGGGGAAGGCCCTGAGGTGCCCGGGACTGAGAGGAGAAGAGGTACTAGTTTAAAAAGGGATTTTAAAATAATTTAAGTGATTTGTATTTTGCCAAGCCTTTGTATTAGGACTCAGATAGGGTGGATTATTGAAACCGTGAACTTCGGAATCAAATAGCAGGAATTGCCACCACTGAGTGAACACGCCGGCCATGATCCGGGCGGCTCACTGTCGGCTATGATCCGGGCCTTCATGGCATCCTTGCCACAGTGCCGATTGGACTAGAGTCAGGGCCCCCAAACTTTCAATTCACCGCGGCTCCCGGTGCTATGATCGGATTATGCTACTTACTCTCCGAATGGTCTCGGCTCGGTCCAAGTGGACAATTCTCCTCCGCGCCGCCCCGGCCTGGCCCGCGGCGATCCGATCGGCCCGGCCCGGCACTGACTCTGTGAGGCGCGGCCGGCCGGGCGCCGCGGTGACTGGGGGCCGTCCATCTGGGATCTGGTAGCAAACTTTAGTTAATTCTCTTAGCTGGGAATGGAGGGGCAGGAAGGAAAGGGAGGAAGGGAAGGGAGGAAAGGGAGGAAAGGGAGGGAAGGGAGGAGCGGAAGGGAGGAGGGAGGTGGAAGGAGGGAAGAGAAGGAGGGAGGAGGGTCGAGACAGTTCAGGACAACATTGGAGTAAGGGAGGTGAGGATGTTGGTGAAAATTGATGCTTGACTCAATATTTAGCAAGTGGCGTGGAGATAGAATCCCATGACGTACGTCAAGAACTGCTGGCTAAATCCGGTGAAACCCGAGCTTGTCTGTGCTGAACATGTTAATCGCCATGCTGCTGATGACAGGAGTCGGCCTTCATCAATCGTTTAAGATCGATTTCAATCAACGATGAAGAAAAACAACACGAAGAAACCGAAGAAGTAAATATTGAAGAAGAAGAAGGCAAAGAAGAAGAAGAAGAAGGCAAAGAAGAAGAAGAAGAAGGCAAAGAAGAAGAAGAAGAAGAAGAAGAAGAAGAAGATTTCAAAAGCCCTCGAAGGGCTGCCAGGAAGCTTTGGTCCATCTTCTTCCATCATTTCAAGAAAACGAAGTTTCGCTCACGTGCATAATCGACTTTCCTTACGGAGACTTTGGAGACAAGTCCTTCAATCTGAACCTCCGTAAAGAGGAAAGGCTGCTCGAGCGAATGATGTTGTTCAAGGTGAATGACAACAATCTCGAGCGGTACAGTCTGCACATCCACACTGTGGAGAAGTGGAAGAGCAGACCGAAGAAAAGTCCTGTGGAGTTCCGAGTACGGGGTATCACGGCGCTAAACATACGAAAGTGCAAGAGGAGGAGCCAAGATGAATTGTTTGATGAGGAAGAGCGTGGAGAACCTGTTCTTCCTGAGAACCCTGAGATCCGCAAGAAATGGCAACAGCACTTGAACAGCAAGGAGGACATTGAATGGCTCTGGCAGGCAAAACCTGCGCCTGGTGTTCTTCCGAAATTCGACAAATCAGGAGACAAGTATAAAGATGTGCTCAAGGTTTTGAGTTTTGCGATCAAACAGAGAGAAGCTTCTCAGTATCACGAAGAATGTGAAAAGTGAGTTGTGCATGAGAGGGAAATGTGATGATGATGATGATGATGATGATGATGATGATGATGATGATGATGATGATGATGATGATGATGATGATGATGATTTTGGTGTGCTGATACTGTGAATGATATTGCGAATGATGAAGATAGGGAATGATGTTGGAAGTGAGGAAGGTCAAGTTGCTGTTATGGGAGGCATTCTGACACGAGCTCACAGGAAGGCAGAGACTCAAAGACGCATGCGAGGCTCCCCACAGGAAGCGACAGTCGATGATGATGATGATGATGATGGTGAACTGTTAGTTCTCGAGATCCCGCAGGCCGTGGCGCTCTGCATGGGGATAGAGGAGTACAGAAGTCTTCCTACTCTCCCTGGTATACAGGAGGAGACACTCAGGTTGCTGGGAGCTTTGAGACAGGTCCCTCGTTGTCTTGCTATCGGATGGTACCAGCAGGCCGACAACCGCGTCAACGTGGAGACGTTCATCGAGGCGAACTTCAGTGCGATGAAGAGCCTGCCTCCTACCTTCGCTCTCCTTCACTTCTCCGGCCATGTCGTCGTACATCGCAGCACAGGAGAACTCTGGCTGGCAGCGCCCTCCTTCTCAGCAAACGATGTCGAAAGCGACAAGGAAAGGCTAGATCACGGCATTTCCTTGTCCCAGCTCACCTCGTGGTGGAAGACCTCCTTTCCCTCGGACAGCCCTCAAGTCCTCCTCATCGTCGACGGATGTCGCTCAGATGTCAGCAGCAGGCCGCTGTCAAGCATTGTGCACAAAATGCCTGCCAAGTGGACTCTGTGCTGCTTCCGAAGCACTGGGAGTGAGGGGAGGAGAAGCGATTCTGCCATGTGCCGGAGGCTGGTAGACAGGATCAATAGAATCGTTGCCGACAGACAGAACCTGCAAGACCTCGTCCCTTGGATGTGCGAGGAAAATCTGCCCGAGGGGATCGAGGCTCGGTTACTGAGAGAACTGCCGCAAGTAGTGGACCTTACAGGAGACGATGATGACGTGGGTCCGGCGGAGCCCAGGGGTGTGCAAAGAGGAGGAGGGAGCAGCGGGGAGCCAGCAGTGAAGAGGTTCAGGGGAAACTAGAGGGGCTGACGAGGAAGGTAAGGCTTGTTCAGATGCGAGGGAGACAGGAAGATCGGGTGGTGCTGAAACTCTGTATCACATGTCCCTTGTCCTTGTACAAGGAGAGCACGCAACTTGCAGATGATGTTTGCATGTCGTGATGATGATATGCAACGACACCTTACTTCTTCACTCCTGATGCGCATGTTTTATGAGAGTAATAGACACTGTACTCGTTTCTTCCTTCGTGGGGCCTGGCGAGCAAGAACCAAGTCATTCTGGGCGCCAGCTTGAGCGACGCCAAGTAGGCACTTGGCACTCAGCCTCGGCATAGAAAGAGACGGATGATGATGATGATGATGAAGGACTGCTGCGTCTCCATTGGAACAACATGGCCAGTGATCGCCATAGTGTTCACATGTCCGAGACTTCACTCTCCACAAACATCAGCCGCATGGCTGTGAATGGGTTTTGCTACCTCCATGCGTGCCTCAAGAAACGATGTTCTTCGGCGTGTGACCTCTCGTCTCTTCGGATCTCCCCGACTACAGGATAGAAATCCCTGCTACTTCTACCTGGGTTTCCTCCTCTCCTCTCTTCCATCCGTAATCCTCTAGCGCCCCGCTGTCTTCGATGAGTTTGATCTTAAACCTTGCAAGCTCCTCAACCGGAATCAGGTAAACAACCTACACATTCCATCTTCCACGTTTCGGGTTGTTAAGCGCTTTCAGAGCCTCAGTGATGGTCGACCAAGAGAAGCGGAAGGTGATGTCCTTCACGCCCGGATTTCAAAGGCCATAGCTGAGAGCCAACTGCCTCAAAGTCGATTCTGCAGTGTGCCCCGCAAGCGTACTTGCAACATACTTGATCACTGGCAACCAGCTTCTCTTACTTCCAAACTCGACGTATCCTATCAACCGGTTGATAGCTTGCGACGAGGAGGGACAAGCTGACCGTATGCAAGTCGATGTGTATTGATTTTCCACATGGCCGAAGCCTTCAACTTCGGGTGAGCACCATTAGGTATCCCATGATCATCATGTAGGTGTGACATGCTAAAGTCCAAGAAGTCATGCCAGCTCTCATGGTATACTTCACGAGTCGATAGTCCTATTCAACCTGGCCGATAAGTGACCCGATATTGTCGGCAACCGCGGCCGGCCCCAGGCATTCTCTTTCATTCATCCTCCTCTTGAAGCGGGGTGAGATCGCAGTGCTCAGGGCAGAGACATCAGGTAGATGTAGATGGTCAAGTGCTTCACATCGCTGCTCCTTTTGCGACAAATAACCCAAGAATGCTACTAATGCAATGGCAAAACAAGGTCGTCCAAGGTTTCATTCAGAGCTGCATGATATCGTGGGTAAGACCTGAAGAAAGCTATGATCGCATGAATGCGGTATGCCTAGTTCCTCTGCGTACTGAGACTGACCCCGACCCCACCCCCGCGGCGGCCCGGGCCGATCCTCCGAACTGATCTGTTGACAACTTTCGAACTGATCAGTTGACAACTTTCAAATGATGATCAGTTGACAACTTTCACGGATCAGTTGACAACGTTGACAACTTAAACGGATCGGATTGCAGTTTACATATCAACACAAAAAGTTACTCAAGCCTGGCTAAGCAACTGAACTGCCAATCGGCGGACTTCACTATTAGTACACTGAAGTTGACGGTCAGTCGCACACTGTACATCGACCTGAGTCAAGCCAAGCAAGCAAGTCTTTAGAGTCTCAGGGCCATGGCAGACACTGACATGGATATCACAGCAAGCAGCAGAGAGGTCGAGGCCGCCATGGGAGGGCTCGTGGCGGCAGAGGAGGGGTCGGAAGACCAGAGGTTCGACTGAATGATGGAACCAGCTTGCACGGAGAAGGACAGGTCCTGGTTGGCGTCCACTCTGGCATCTGCGGGGAGGTTTGCAGACATCTGAGTCAGTGTCATGCCTCCGTTCCTCCGAGTTTCAATGGTGTTGAGAAACGCGAGCAATCGGATTTCCTGAGCGAACAAGGCTGTGAGTTGCATGCTGATGGCCCTGTAAGAGCTTGACATCGAGCTTACCTCGTCCTCATTCACGGCATCTGCCTGGATCTCAATCTCAGTTCCTCCGCCAGGAAGGCCCTTAGAGAAGGTTTTGTTCAACTGCCGCCTGAGTCACTTGCAACACATGGACTCGTCTGCAAGCTCTTGTACCAGATAAGGCATGAGCGCGAAGAGGTTGCCCAAGTCTCCAATGAGCTGCAGCGATGACAAGCTGTTAGCAGGGCGGCAAATGCTCTGTTGCCACTTACGTATTCATCTGCTGTCACGCTGTTTTCTGCTGCGATGTACCAAGTGATCTTGAGGTTTCCTATCGTGATCATGAAGGTGATTTTCTTTCCTCCTCCGCCTGACGTGCACGTTCAGAGTCTCGGACAGATGAGAAGCACGCACATGGAGCTGGGAGAGTCAAGGAGCAAGACTTTGCCATGGCGTGTACCCATGCGCTGGTTGGTTGATCGACTTCCAGCAACGACCCGACGCAGCATCCGATATCTTGTGCCGCATGTATCTTGGCCTGCAACATGCTTGTTTTAGATGTACACAGTGTTGTGATATGTAAAACATCACCAGGCAGGCAGGGCTTGCACGACATTTGTTCGAGCCTTGAGAGCCATGATCTCCATGCTCCTTTCGGTCCTGACCAGGCTTGCAAGAGTCTTGACTATCATCTCCTGATAGAAATGGCTGCAGCTTGTCCATGCAATATTCAGATCCATCTGTGTTGCAAAATGAGTTCGTTTCAAAGATTTGACCGTCGGGTCAGCAGAACAATCGTGCCCGATCTCACCTTTCACGCACATGGCCGCAAGAACACGTTGCATCCTTGACAATGATCTGTCTCGACTCATCATCAAAGACGGAAAGAATGACATGATCTGCAATCAATGACTCAGGGCAGAAGTGAAAATGATTCAGTCGTACCTTGGCTCCACATTCAGAACACAAAAATTGACTTGATAGCGCATCTTCGGAATTGAGAAAGTCCAACAGGCGAGCAAGGCAGTAGTGACCATGACTGTCTTGCATGCATAGGAACGCGGTGGACATTCCATCCACAGTGGGTCCAACAAACGCGTCCATGTAATATCTCACGCACTGTGACGAGCAGAGGCCCTGGAGGTGCACACAAAGTGAATCAAATGAATCAAAAGAATGGTTGAAAGAGCTCAAAGATTACAACAGCTTCACACCTCAATGTTGAGCGGTGCTTCTGTCAAAGATATCACTTCGCTCACGCAGTATTCACCCCCCAACTTCAGGCAAAACAGTGGAACAATCGATCCGATGGTAGAGTTCAACTTTTTCTCTACCACAGTTACTTGATCTGATGTGCAATTCGGAAGGTATGGAGCAAGAGATGTGTTCAAGAGACGAGGAAGACAACCAGTGCTCGGGTTGCAAAGATGATCCATCACCGATTGGTTCACAAGATTTGCGGTGTTGTTCAAGATTGACAGGCAGGGCTCGGCCATGTTATGGATCCTGTCACCATCTTCTTTGGTGACGCAAGAGAAGTTCACGTCGATCTCAACCGACGCGTGCATCTCAGCCGATGCTTGTGTACTCCGAAGTTGGGTGGTGTGCTGCTTGCTGTCGTGCAGAGCCTTCGTACGGACTGTGTTTGTAATGGTATGAACCTTTGCTCTCATGGTGTGGATCACATGATCGACCAACGAAGCTGCTGTTGCAGGCTGTGTATTCGACGCGGCTGGTAGCGCACGATTGATTCTGAGCAACTTGGCAGCAGAAGCATCGAGGAGGAGGACGAGGAGGAGAGCGATTACGCCGCTGCGCCCATGCATGGTCATGGGAGGACTCAGTGACTGCGAGGCGACTGGGATACCTTTCGGTTCTTTTGTGTAAACCGGGGGGTGTACTGCTACCGGTAGTTTTCCCTTGGGCTTACAGCTGATGACGAGGGTGGGGGTAGGAGGGGGTACAACTATCTAGTACCAGCAGTACAAGTTAACCTCTGAAAAAGAGTCACAGCTCGGAGCTCCCTGGTACCGGAGCTCTCCCGGTACTTCCCGGCTACAGCTCACTCCCTTCCACCCACTAAATGCCAAATGCAGTCACTGCCGGCAGTGGCACCGCGGTCGGGCAGGGCGGCGGTGGCTACAGCCTCAGCCTACGGCTACCGTACTACTCAGCGGCTGCCGGCCGGGCGGCGCCGGGCGTACCGTACGGCGATACCGGGATCGGACGGTACGCCGGGGGGAAACGCGGCGCATTTTGGCGCGTGTGCCCCCGGCCCGGTGGGTCCGACGGTCAGTGATCCTTACAGCTGGCAGCGGCTCCCGGAACGAGGCCTCCCTGTCCTACGCTGCCATCATCGCGGGTGCATCCCGGTTTGCGTCTCATTCCTTCGGCGGCGTGTCCTGCGCGCCGTTAAGTGAAGGTATCAGTTAAGTTTGGGGGACAGCAGTCGGCAGGATTAGGTTTGGTTCTCCGAGGCTCGCCGAGTCGCTGTCTTTTCTCTTCTCGCCGTTTGGCCTGTGCGACAGTGTCAGGGTCCGATCAAGCCTTCTCGACTCCTCTCCTGCCATTGTCCTCGTACTGATTTTTCACTTCACTTTGAGTAAAGGAACGGGAGGCTCACTTACACCGTGACTCAGTGACGGCCCCCGCCCGGCGCGTACCCGGAGTGACCGTACAGTCACTCACTGGCAGGCTTCGGACCGGACCGTCGATGATGGTCATTTCAGAGCCTCTGTACCGGGTGGCGCCCCCACAGCAGACTCGATCATCGAAGCCGCGGCCCGGCCCTGATCCCTGCCGAGGCTCGGCCAGCCCGGCCAGCCGAGTCCGGGAGCGGACTCGGGAGGCCGGCCGCAATGCCCACCGCCCGGAGGTCACCAGTGACTGGGCCGGGCCCGGGCCGGGCGGCCGCCGCGCAGCTCAGTGCTGTGCTGCCCGTATGCTAATGTGACCTCATCCCCTCCAAGTCAGACCGCGTGCAAATGGCGGTGAACGTCGAAGTGGTAAGCATGAATGCAGAAGGAAGGAGAGAAGGAAGAGAACAGAAGACAGAGGAAAGATGAACACGATGAGAAGGAAAACAAGAGGGAGGGAGGGAGGGAGGGAGGGAGGAGGAGGAGGATAAGGGAAAAGTGTAGAGTATGGAGACGAGGAGACTGAGTTGACCAAGGGAAGAGGAAAATAATATGACCAGGAAGAGGAGAAGAAATACGAAAAACATTAACAAATGGGAAAGAAAACCAGTATATGAGGGAAAGGCTGGAATATTCAGAGAGTCAAGGAACAACTTGGAACACCAATAGGTCAATCAAATCTGTTAGAGAGACCGGCTTGCAAAGTGAATATCCATCTAAGAGGTACATATCGTCCTTGCGTGAAATTTATTCTGTCATGTGCAGGATGCTTATCTTTTTCCCATGCTGCATGCTTTGAAGTATTCACAGTATGCTGTTAACGGGGTAAGCAACTTCGCGGCTTGATGCCTCTGACATTTCTCGATTCCTCATTCTCGCTTCCTTCTATCTCTATGCCCCATGCTCCATCACTTCTACATCCACCCAGCTCTTAGACCTCCTTTGCTTCCTATCCTATTAGAATCGCATTCACGATTGTAGTTCTTATGTACAAGCAGGTGTTGTTGGGAACGTCCAAGCAAGAATCAGTGGAGATCGTGCAGGTTTGCAAACTAGTCTTCTTGCGCAACTTTGATGGCAACCAGGCGATTCCACTGATGCATCGGGATCTCTGCCTCTCTCCCATGCTCGATGCAGCGTTTGCGTTGATAGACGAGCATTGCAAAGCGAAATCATTGCAGGTTGTATGAGAATGTGATCGGAGAGAAAGTCACTTGACATCTTTCCTTCTCCTCAAGATCGTCGGGTACTATCATGCTAATGCTCAGCACAACTCCAACGGCATTTCACCAACTGCCAGAAGAATAGCCGATAAGATCAATGAAACTGTTGTTCCCGTCAGAGCTGCTGCGGCTTTCGATTGACAGCAGATCACACAGATGAAGGAAAGGGATGCAAAAGCTCGAACGTGCCTGATGGTAAAGTTCACCTTCTGGTGTATGAGGAGGTGTGATGAGATATTGCAGATGATTGACAACAACGAATTCGAGAAACTCGCCGCGTATCTGGTGGGCGGGACCAGGTTGATGTCTTTTAATCAGATTTTGATACCAATTCACACATATTGCCTCCAGTGCTGAGATGAAGAAAACGTTCGGGCTGACCATCTACACAAAAGTTGTTCGACTTTGGCCATGATGACGAATGGCAGATTGAAATTCTTGTCCTTCAGGCAGACAACGGAGATTGGAAATCAGCGAGCGATGTCAACATCAAGGGATTCGGCGACGAGAGCACGCCAGTGATGTTCTTTGTCGAGCATGTTGCTGTCTGCTGAGGCTCTACAGGCGAGACTGTTGGAACTTGTGCGCGCAGGGAAGCAGAACTCAGTCGTCGACTTTGAGAATCATGTGGACCATCATGAGAAGTAAGACTTGCGGACAGTTGTCGCTCTGTTTTATAACGCGCTGAACAGGCGATGGTTGGACGCGCAGATTCCTGCATGACTCCTTGCACGTCAACGATGATATCTACTCTTTTTTCTTTTGCAAAAACCAATCTTCTGTTTTGTCACTTTAAATCTTCTTGATCGCAAATGAAAGTGAAAGGTCTTGAATCTGAGTTCCAAACCTTGCCACGCTTGTAAGGTTGATAGCAAGAAGGCCGGCACCATTCCTCCCTCACCGTTCCTTGGACGGAACAATTCTTGATCACCATCATCGCGACGGTAGAGTTAGTCTCGTTGAAGAAAGTCCCATCCGGATTCTCTGTATCAAGGCATGACAAGCGTGGAGGGTCGGAACTTGAACAACTACCTTCAGGTGTCAACAGGCTGTAAAGATTTCCTTGTTCATCCTCTTGGAATCTGCCGCGTCTTGTCAGCTCACACCATTTCACGCCTTTCCCGATCAAAACTGCCCTCATTAATTTCTCCCCTTCTCCCCCTTTGCTTCCCTCCTTCCTGAATGCTGTTGATCTGCAATTGTTCCCATCTCCTAACCATCCTGCCTCTTTCTTGACTGCTCTGTCTTCACCTCTCGGACTCAACGATCGCGCCAAACTCTGAAGAAAACATTTTCTTGTTAGAGACGACAAGAGCAGGCTTTCATCACCTTTATGGTATTCTTCGGGGACTGGATAGTACACCTCAACAGCACTGTGAGTTTTTGCATGGAAAAAAATCTCGTACCTCTGACCAGAATGCTGCATGCTTGCAATTATAGATCAAACAAGATTCCAACTGTCGAAAACTCAAAGGATGAAAGAGTTTTATCGCTTATCTGACCTCAACGTGAGCGAATTGTGCCAAGTGAACTGCAAGCCGGCATCTGTTGAACTCACAGCCATTGACGTAAACTGCAGACTATTCAAACCTCTCGACAAGAGAAGGTACAGACATGAAGGTAAGAGAACATGACGAACGGTACAACAGCTTGCAAACATGCACAAAATGGTCAATCACAAGGGACTGGAGAGGGAGACTAGAGAACTGGTGAGTGATGGAGAGTCAACAAGTAGGATTGTAGAGTAGATGGATCAGGGGAGAGAGGAAGCCAAGTCATACTTCACCTTGGGAGCAGTCATTGAGGGCGATGGCACATCCTCCTTCAAACCCTATGTCCTCAAGCACACACCTGTTCAAGGACACGTTGCTGTTGGCTATCATAGCCACTCCGTAGAAGGCAAGGCCAGGGAGAGTTTCATGGTAGCGGACCTCCGGCCCTGTTCCTCCGATGAAAGAGTCTCTTAGTTGCACCTGACTGTTACAGGCCGCAAGGATACAGGTGACGTGGGAGCTCTTGAAGCAGCAGTGATCGATAAGCCAAGGGCCGGAGAAGACCTGCAAACTTCAATGTCACTACGAACACACAGCAACGCTCTGCGCTACCCGCATGAGAGTCTGACGAAAGATGGAGGTATAACAGATGAAGACATTCGAAAACGACCCACAAGACCCGTCGAACATACACCATTGGCCATGAAGCTTCGTCGCAAGCACACCCTCCCATCGGTCCGACAACTTTGAGCAGTTGATTTGCTCGTGTTTGACATGCTTCGGCTTCGCACGCACTTGACCGCAGATGTGGAAGGGCGTGTTGTTCTTGTCCAGCTGCAGCTCCCATCGAGGATAATCTTCTGATCCTGCACCCCACTTGTGTGTTCCTTTCCTGCAAACCAACCGCTGCCCTGCCTTGACAGCCCTCACAGCTCTGAAGAGGAAGGAGACGTCGTCAGGAACGTATACGTCATCGAGCTCTCCCGCTCTTGGAGGATGTTGAAACATCTCAACCCCTGGCGCTCTGCTGCATGGAAAGAACTCGTCAAAGATTGCAGGACCAGGAATAAAATTGTTCAGAGTGTCAAAGTCGACTCGTTTCTCCTTGACCCGTTCATGTGTTGCATCATAGAAGAACTGAACAGTCTGCTCCCCTCCAAACTGCTTCACAAGATCGTCATGGTACATGGGATCATCCAGTCCTCCACTGTACAAGAAGATGGGCCCGTTCTCTTCATATACCACTGCTGACCACGACTCCGGCACTGGCCCGTACCACTCGGAGAATTTCTCTGCAAGAGTTCCGGTGAACAGGAAGGAGACATTCTGGGTGGGATCCACACGCAGGTGAAACTCCCGAGGAAGCTGATCAGGCGGAACTCTTAGGATGTTTCTACTCTTGTCATAGTACTCCTCAGTGTAAGGGCTTTCACTAGAGTTCATCACATACTTTCCCAGGCCATACACGTCTCGCAGCCTCTGAGGCCGCATTCGCTCGGGTGGGATGTAGTCTGTTGCGTTGAGGGACTCGCGATATCGCTCGAGGCCCTTCCCCTGATATTCTGGGAAGAAGCCATTGTTCCAGCCTCCAACAGGGATCAGGTAGGGGTGGTTTTGTATCTCCTCCTCTGTCAGACCCTCGTCCGCCCTTACAATGGTGGGGTCTGGCTCTATCTGTCTCACCCAATCAGGAGCTTGAGTGTCCAGGGGGTTGTAGTCCGGGTCGTCTTCCTCGTCCGTGTAATAGTATGACCCAGAGTCATCTTCGTCTGCTCCATCATACCACAAGCCTCCCCTCAGGGAAATGGTCGATCGTTGTTGTTTAATGTACAGACGTTTCTGAAGCAGCACCGGCAAAAGTCTCGCTCCCAGTGCACCACCACTGCGGGTGCTGTAGGATACTGCTACAGTGTCTAACTGGACAACCAAGAGGAATTGGAAGCAAAAAATGGCCGACAAACTCATTCCGACGAAACTGAATCTTCGATTCCCTGTCCTATCTCCTCCTCGTCCCTTATCGTTCACGGAATCTCTCTCCAGCACCATTCTTGTCCTCTTTTCTACTTGCATCCTTCCTGTTCCCTCTCTCCCTCCCCCCTCCCCCTTCCCTCCTCTCTTCATACCCTGTACTTCGCTGTGCCCATGGCGGGTCTCATCGATTGGGTTCAAATTGAACACCAAAGATTGAAATTTGAAAGCAAAAAATGAAACTGTAGAAGAACAGATCTATTGTTTGCTGCCCTTATATTCTCCTTATAAGTCTCCTGAGGCGGACACCACTGGGTAGTTCAAGAGTTTGACTACCGTACCCTGTAATCAAATAATTGACCACCCACCCCGAGCTAGGACTTGGTGGGGCGGGCCGCTCCAGGCTGTATGAACTTCGGACATGGAATAGCCTCAACTGCACCCGGTACGGTACGATAGTCGCCGGCATTCCTTAGCTGAGGCAGGGCAGGGGTGGGGTGATGCAGGTACCCTGATTTATATGCGATGAAAGTGAGTCCTTTGTAGGGGTAGGGTAGTCAATGACACATCATGAATTGTGGGCGGGGGGTGGGGGTAGGTGGGTTCAGTAGGGGTGGTGGACCCGATGGTACTACGGAAGTGGCCCAGGCTGATCAGGTGAGTTGAAATCCCAGGGCGGTCAGATGGCGGGAGAGGAGGAAAGGAGGGCAGCTACGGCGAGGAAGGGAGGAGGACAGGGAGCGCGAGGCGCGAGAGACGAGGAGCAAGGGAGAAAGGATACAAGCTCATACAAGCTTCAGGCTGGAGGGGCCTTCAGTGAAGTGGATAGAAGCAAGGACTCGGTATCTTCGCTGGTATGTATCCATGTCATACAGGGGAAAGATTTCTTGGAGCAAGGATCCAAAGAGATGGTCTGTTGTGCGCTAGTGTATGAGTGTGAGGAGGATGTAGACGTCGATGATCTTCTTTCCATGGACTTCGACTCTGAATGTCTGAAAGTTGGTGGTGAAAGATTCAAACGTTTCAAAAGGACTGAGAATCCGTCGATAGAGATGTTCTCTGTCTTGAAACAAGTCGATGGAGCCATAGACCTGACGGACCCACAAAAGTTTGAAATCACACCGAGCAATGATGATAGAATCACAGAGCAGAGTCTCGTGGTGGTTATCACGATACTTGACAAGGAAGGAGCCGAGAAGGGCCTCGATCAATCCGCGAGAGTGATTCTTCCCATCAAGGCAGGAGTTGAGTATGAAGGTTGGTACACACTCTTCACTGAGGAGCAGCTTCCTGCTCTTGGTTTCTCCGAGCACCCGATGCAAATCTACCTCAAATGTCACTACTCCCCCGTCAACTCGCCTGATGCTAAGGAGGTAGAGTTCAAGCAGGCCGAGGATGCAGTGACGAGATTCTTCTCTCTCGTTGAGCAACCTGTGTCTCCTCTCCTGACGGGAAACCATCAGCCTGACCGCAACGCCCTTGCAAGGACGCTCGTGTTTGATCAAGAACCTGTGTCTGTTCCTCCGGCCACGTCGTCGAAGAAGTCTTCTGGCAAATCCAGTCCTGAGAGTGACCAAGTTCAGCAAGGGGAGTATGTATTCAATCTCACAATCATTGAAGCTCAGTATCTGCCTGATCTCGGTCAAGAGCCAGAGATAGTTTGCAACGTGTCACTGATCAATGCCGGAACAAGTATGGAGTACAGCCGTTATTCCACGTTGCGGCATGACTTTACAGATAGAACTTCAGCTACGAAAGAGAAACCGCATTTCAGGAACATCTCACAAACATCAATGTGCATACCTCAACAACAATGCAAAACTTCGATATCTCACAGCCTACATCATGCCAGATGGAATGACAAATTCGAGTTGTACGAAGCTCACAATTCTTTCGAAGATCTGTCTGGAAACGCGATGGCTCCGCTGAATGCGCAGCCGCTTCTTCTAATCATCACAATCAGCCAAAACGAGACCTTCGGGCCTCAGGGATACTACGGAAAGATCGTTCTTCCTGTAAGATACGGAGCGCAGACCGACAGGTGGTTCAATGTAATGGACGCGAATGGAACAGCGCAGTTGGGAATCAATGGAATGCATTCAAAGATTCACCTTCACCTAGAATATCAGAGTACAGACTCAAAGAGAAACTCTGGAAACTCCAACTCGGAAGAAGAGATGGATCGATGGAATTCAATGGTCTTCCGGATTTCCAGCCCCATGACTTCCTCCCTTACTGACGCTGTTGCCGTGGAATCTAGACTGGTGGGAAAGGATGGGCAGCATATAGTGACTAAGAACCAAGGTTTTGTTGCTATCAGTTTGTCAGCTCTAGGAGATCTCGATTGTCTCATGTTGGATCGAGATGCTCAGTTGTTCTGGAGAGTTTCAGTCCTGCATCCGTCAACATGCCTACAATTCTGTGATTCGCTTATGGTTGAGCACCAGTCCCCGGAGAGGAGCAGCAAACTGAGTTTTGACGGTCGACCTGGCAGGATTGTGGCGCAGATCGAAACGCACAAACAGAGGCTAGGAAAGCCATGGAACGAAACCTTCGAGCTGAAGACAGTGAACCCCAACTCAGTGATAGTGAGACGCAAGAATGGCGTCATGGAGGTCATGTACTCAGAGGAGAAGGTCAAGTTTGACCAGCCGTTGATAGTCTTTCTTACATTGCACTCGCAAACTTGGGGAGGTGAAAGCATGATAGCATTTGCTGTGAAGGAAATCGTGCCAGGAGGTGTGATAGACGACCAGCTGTTGTTGAAGCAGTGTGATGGTTCTCTGATCAAGCACGATGAAAACAAGACTTGCACTGTAGGACTACATTGTGACTACGTGAGTTATTTCCCTGAGTCAGCTCAAGGTCGATCGCAATCGAGTGGAAGGAAGAATTCAGAGTCGGCATTCCATGAGCATGATAGGAGCTCGCAGGAGATATATGCTTTGAACCAACTTCTAGAAAACGAACGGAAGAAGAATGAAAAGCTTGAGATGCAATGTGCTGAAATGGAAAGAAGAATGGTCAAACTTGATAGCAAACTTGCACAAGAGAGACAAAGGTGCAAATCTTTGGAGTCGGAATTACAGAAAACAAAGCAACTTGTCAAGGAAAGTACTGATTTTGCAGCTGCTGCTCAGAATCAGATGAAAGTATCACGCACAATTTGTAAATATGCTGTTGAAAGTATGAAGAATCAAATCTATCATCTAAGCGAGAAGATTTCAAATCACAAGGAGCATGATTCTGAAAAAAAGGAGACTTTGATGAAATCACACATGCAAATCTTAGACACTTTCTCAGACGCGCTTGAAATTTTGACGGCCTTCTCCTCAACAAGGGACCTTGCAATAAGGGAAAGCATCAACAATGCTGGGATCTTGATAGAAGATGGCAAGAAAGTTATATCAAGAATCTCAAAATCCACAACCCGAAGGAAAAGCAGCTTCAGCGTTGATGTATCACCAGAGGTGTCAGGTTCAAGAGGGGAGAAACCCTCTCCTGTCTTAACGTCTCGCCATGACATGAGCAGTAGCCTGGTCCCTAACGCTGATCTATCTACCTCCCTTTCTGAGGACGAGTCCGATGATTCGAACCGGCGGTCTGACATCAAATCAGCCCGTCGTGCGCCGGCGCACCATGTCAAGGCTTCAATCCTTCACATCTTGGATCAGATTCAGATCGAAATGAACCTTGTGAGGACCCTGATGAATCAGAGAGACAGAGTTTGCTCGAAGTTCATCAAAGAGTTTGTTGATATGAAGTCGAGGGGGCCAGCGACGGAAAGTTCAAACAGTCGGGCGATTGCAGAGTTGCTCTGGAAGATTGCTGAGTGTAAGTCCGACTTTCATTATCAAGTCATCGACGACGATGCCATCCTGGGGGCGTTGGACGACACGGTCTTGGAGTACATCTTGCGCAATCGAAACCTCCACGAGAAACTGGCTGCACAGAGAGACTGGCAAGTTCTGAAGCACGAGGCTGTCAGGAAGTCGGAGGCTGGCAGGACGCAGACAAAGGAGGAAACTCCGAGGAAGCGTGCCCCCCTGCCTCACGAGAGCCCAGAACACTCTGGGTATCCCTATCAAACTCGTGTTGAGAGCAAAGTGAAGGAAAGGAAGTCACCTCCGCTGTCCTCAGCCAAGAAATCTGCTGATACTCCTCACAGACTGCAACCGAAGGCGGCGGGAGCAGCAGCAGACAAATCTCGACACGCCTCCTCCTCTCCTCCCGTTTCAGGCGCTAAACACACTGAGACGAAGCCGATGGCCAATACAAGCGCGAGGAAAAGTCCCTCATACCTCTATGCCTAGAGCGCGATTGAAAGTTTTAATTTGATTGATGATGATGATGAATTACTAGAGCAGTCAAGACATCAAAGAATGAATAAAGAATAGATAGAATAAAGCATTAACCCCGCACCGAATCCTATCCTTATCCCCGTGCACTGATAACACAATGATTTTGCCGTCACGAGGCGATTAGAATGGTGAGGACTACTAGGATCAAAAGCTACTGCACATTCCTTTCCTTGGGAGAAATCTTGCTGAAGTTGAGTCGATTCTTGCAAACAAGCGTCAAAGACGACATGTCAAACTCAAGGTACCTTGTGATGAGGCGATGAATCGGAGCTCGCCCTCGTAAGAAGTTCCCAGCAGGTCGCTAAAAACATACTTAACCTCCCAATTGCAACGATGCTCAGTCACGAATATCCCCGTCTTCACTTCTTCCATCATAACGGAAATTATTTTCCCCTCTGTCACCTTCCATGTACCAACGGACTCCTCGTCGTAGATCTCTTTCAACCCGTGCAAGACAACAAAGCTGCCAGCAAGGGCGAATCCGCTCCATAGCACGCGATCAAGAAGAGGGGGCGGCTTGCGGCCTGTGCGCGATGGAGATTGAGCCAACCAGCGATGGACATGCGTCCTTGGCGGCTGCCGATGGCCCCGTGCATGCCGGATCAACTTGCAGCAAGCACTTCCAAGACCTGAGACTCGCATCGTGCTTATTATTAGACTCTGAGAACAAATGTCAGACCCTCATGGCATCTCAGAGTACAAGAAGATCTCAACATTCTCAGAAACGGATGTCTGCAGAGCTCAACATGTTCAAATGATATATCCGGATTTATTTGTCACATCTCAACCAGATCTCATACCCGCAATTCTCCCTCTCCTGTCTCCATCTCTCTCCTCTCTCCTCTCCTCCGTCCTCCCTCCTCTCCCCTCCTCTGCTCTCCTCTGTCCTCTGTCCTCTGTCCTCTGTCTTCTCCTCTCTCCCTCTCCTCTCCTCTTTCCCCTCTCCCTCATTCTATCCTGTTGGAGGCGTTTCTCATTGCGCCTGTTGCATTTCTGAGGCAGACCCGACAGCCTTCCAGTAGCTAAAAATTAGCTTCCGACCCAATGGCTTACTAGGGCGCAATGGCGTACCAGCTTACAGCTCCTCGTCGCCTCCTCTGCTGCTGCTCCTGCCGCGCGTCTCCTTCTGATGCTGCCTCTTCCTCCCCTCCCTCGCTCATGCATCCTCAGACTTGAAGTCCCTGCTCCTCCTCCTTCCCTCCCTCTCGTCTCGCATTTTCCCCATCACACTCCCCCCCTCCCCACCGTTGTTGTCGATTGTCATGAGATAGACAGAACTGACTGTGTTTCCTTTGCTCAGTCACTGACTACCCGATAGTTTCAGATATGGAAGCATCGAGGCCCCTCGCCGCTCATCTTTCCTCTCCTTCCAGCCTGTCCAAGCTTCAGCATGCGCTCCAGAGATCGAGGGTTTGTTGGTTGCGTCCAGCGGGTCTCCGCTTCATGTCCAGCGGCCAAGGAGAAGCTGACAAGAAGAGGCTACACTACGACCTCTGCGTGATCGGAGCTGGTCCAGGCGGATGGGCCGGGGCTGTGAGAGGATGGGACTTAGGAAAGAAGACGTGCGTGATAGAGAGCAGGGGAGGGCTGGGAGGTGTGGCAGTCTGGGGAGGAGCGATTGGTGGCAAGGTCATGCTGGAGGTGGGGAAGGGACTTCGACGGGCTCGTCCGCACCTCAAGGGGGAAGCAGCAGCGACAGCAGACGGAGGAGTTTGGGCGGAAGTGAGGAGGAGGACGCGGCTTGCGATGTTGGAGCGAGCTACTCAGCTGGACCAGCAGCTGATCTCGCTGGGGCAGACGAGGAGGTTCAACCGCCCGACCCTGAAGAGAGCAGAGAAGAGCGGGACGATCCAGAAGTGGAAGGGAGACGCTCGTTTCCTCTCTCCTAACGAAGTGTCTGTTGGGGAGAACCTGGTCATAGAGGCGAATCACTTCCTGGTTGCAACTGGCAGCATCCCCATTCCGCTCCCCAAGTTTCCTGCTGATGGAGAGTACATTGTGACTACCCAGCAGCTGCTCAAGTCGGCTGAGACTATCCCTCAGAGTGTGATCATTCTAGGTGGGCAGCTTTGAAAGCTTTGAGCCAAACTCCACTGAAATGCTGGCAGGAGGAACAGTGTTGGGCTGCGAGACAGCGACGCTTCTTGCTTCTCTTGGGACTCCCAAGGTGAAGTGACTACGAAGAAGTGGAGGAGGAGCCCTGATACCCCGGAACAGATCCATGTCATCAACAGCGAAGCCGCTCTCTTCCCCGACGACGATGCGGTGCTGCCACGTTTTGACGATTTTGACGGAGTTTGTGACCTCGTTCGCCAGGACATCGCGGCCTTTGCCATGGACTCGTTAGAGAGGGATGGAGTTCACGTGCATCATCAGGTTCAGTTCAGCCTCCTCCTCCTCTGCTCTGATCCCCCAGTCTGCAGTCCTACCTGGAATTCGCCAAGATCCACCCAGAGGAGAAGCTGATAGAGTGCAGGTCTTGCTGTGTTTGCTACAAGAAAGACGTTTAATCTCATCGTCAGGATTGTACACACCCGATGGAGTCAGAACGTTGAGGCTGGCGGGCATGCTGTTCCGCACAGGCACCACCAACCTCACAAGCATAGGGGGTTTGACTCTTTATCAGGATCAGCAGAACCTACCGGGTAGAAAAGTTGATCCTTTGCAATGGGAGGATCCCAAACACGGAAGTGAGAAACGGGAGGCATGCTAGCACGTCTGCTCTGACCGGAGATGTAGAACTTGAAACTCAAGGACGCTGGGGTCGAGTGCGATGCCAACGGCAACATCCTGGTCGACGAGCACAACAGGCAGAGTAGAAGAGAGAGGAGGAGGAAGACGCTGATGTCTCACGCAGATCAAGGAGTGCTGAGCATGTCTACTTTGCTGGAGACATTCTCGGGAAGCTCGGGCTGTCTGCAGTAGCAGAGATGCAGGTGATCGAGGGGGACGAGGAGGGGGCGAGGAGGAGCTAACTGCTGAGCAGGGACGATACGCGGTGGAACACATGTTCTCGCAGCAGTATGCGGTGAAACCTTCCTATGATGGTCTCTGCACGGTCATGCACATCAACCCCGAGGTGACTTTTAGCTGTGAAGGCTGGCGGGGGCTGAGACGAGTGCAGGTTGCCTTCGTTGGCATGTGCGAGGAGGAGGCGAGGAGGCGCGACTTGCCGCACATCGTCGCCAAGGTTGTGAAGAGATAAGAAGAGATGAGATGAGATGAGATGAGATGAGATGAGATGAGATGAGATGAGTTGAGATGAGTTGAGTTGAGTTGAGGCCGCTTATGTATTGTGCTGATTGCCTTTGAAGATCGTGTTGGAGAACTGTGCGAGTGGGCTAATCAAGAAATATTCCACCTTCCTCCCCAGCGTCGAGGTAAACCTGAGCCAAGTGATACCTTACATGTGATCGCCTCCTCGTCATCAGTATGGAGAGAAGGTCGAGGATCCTTTCGAAGTCCCCGAATCGTGAGGGATAGTGCAAGTATTGTCCTCACTGACCTGCTCCCTCAAGCTCCCTGGGGTTTGTCAAGATTGTCGTGCTCAACGATGAGTCGCAGAGGCTCCTTGGTGTGCGATGCGCCGGAGAGGTACCTCTCGAAACCTTCCAGCCTCGTCGTCATGCTAGTCGCAGGGAGCGAGGAGCGTCATCCAGGCTGCTGCTATTCTCATAGGTGCCCACAGCCTTCTCGCACTCGATCCCCTACTCATCCTCCTCCTTCAGAGAGCCGCCAGCACGTCCGCGCTCTAGCGCGATCCTCCCACCCCTTCCCCTCCATACTGGAGGCCTTGCAGGAGGTCTTGATAGAGTTTGACTTTATTCTTGCTAACCCGCAAGCTGTCAGTGCGTCCGGATGGTCCTGGGGACAAGCATCCACAAGCATCACTTGATACCGGACAACACGACCTACATTCGGACATATGTCCCTTCAGGTTCCTCCCGTGAGCGAAGAGGAGGGAGAGACTAACTAGAGCACAGGGAAAATGTTCTACGAGGGCTCCGAGGACGAGCATGTCGACCGACCGACGGTTCCGACTTATCTCCGATGAAGGGAGGAGGCTAGAGCGATCTACGGTGCCGAATGGCTGTAGCAAGTGACTCCAACACCTGGATCCTAGTATGATGCAATTGAAATGTAGGACGAGATGGAGGAGGAGGACGGAGGAGGAGGAGGAGGAGGGAGAAAGGGAGGGGGAGACAGACTCCACCTCTTCAGTAGTGGGCCAATCGATACATGCATCTGGCAGACAAAAAGTCATTGAACGCCTGATGTGACATGAAATCAGTTGTACCTGTGATGGAAACTCCATACTTGAGAGGCTGAAAAATCCTACAGTCAGCAAACCTCGTCTACGTGTTAGAAAAACTTCACCATCCCCCCGTTCTTTGAGGGCTCCGGCTGATTGCCTTCCTCGATGTTGGATTCAATCATGACACCAAAAATGCTTCTTCCTCCCTCCGATATCTGCTCGGCGATGTCCTTTGCCACCAGTGGTTGATTTTTGTGCTGCTTTCTACTGTTCCCATGGCTGCAATCAACGACAACTTTGCGGTTCCTGGGCTCCAGCTGGACAGAAGGTCACGGGAGCGAGGAAAGATTGCTCGGGTACCTTCGACTTCTCCAAGATGCTGACGGCATCAGCTACAGACTTCTTGTCGTAGTTCGGACCAGATCCGCCGCCTCTCAGGATCAGATGACAATCATCGTTGCCCTTCGTGGTCACGATCGCCACTGTACCCTACAAGTTCGGAAGACGATGAATTGGACAAGGGAAGGTGACGAGCGACTCAGAGTGTCTGACCTGCGATGTGACAGAAAGGAAGCAATGCGGGAATAGCGATGCCTTGATCGCATCCGAGGCAATCTGGAAAACCCTAGATCATGCAACCTGACATGGTGCTTGCAGCCACAGGCAATTTGCCCAGTTTGTCGTGTACCTGAACATCTCCAGACGTGCCATTCTTGAAGCCAACAGGCATAGAGAGACCGGAAGCAAGTTCCCGATGCACCTGAGATAGGAGGGTGAGCGTTTCATCGCTGCTTCCGAGATCCTTGCCTGACTCTCGGTTGTTCTGGCTCCGATTGCGCCCCAGGAGACCAGATCGGCCAAGTACTGCGGCAAGTCATCAATACATTCATCCTTGAAAGCATCAAGATACTTGAGGAGAGATGGTATCTAGAAATTCACAACCACACGGCATCCCCAGCTTATTGATGTCGAGGAGAATACGCCTGGCGTGCTTTTAGACTGAAAAGGGTGTCCCGTCCTCCAAGACATCAAACCTTGCGAGACGAATGCCTTTGTTGATGTTGTGCGAACCATCAAGATCAGGATCATTGATTAATCCCTTCCATCTTCAACAACTGCCTGTCAAAATCCAACAACTCTCCACTTGCACATCACCCGACGGTAGTTCTTGGCTTTTCAAAGTAGACACGCATAACAACGAGGAGGTCGTTGCTCAACTTCTCTGCAAGTCTGAGCACGATGATGTCAAACAAAAGCATCTCTTCCTCTCATTCAAGTTTCATACTTCACGAGTCGGTTTGCATAGTCAAGGGCTGAACTCGGATCATGAATCGAACACGGCCCAACCACGACCAGGAGGCGGTCATCATTCCCACTGAGAATGTCTCCGATACACTTCCGTGCTGTCTTGACAGTAGAGTATGCTAGGTCGCTCGACAGCTCTTCTACTAGAATCGTCGGAGAGATGACAGGTTTGATCTTTGAGATCTTCACATTCACCACATCGTCGCTGGATTGCAACCTCACTTGTGTTGTCGTTCGCATCTCAACTGTGTTTTACCTGATCAGCGCAGGTGCTGATTCATGGCTCTCGATAGATGGTCTTGGTACCCGAAAAGGTTCGTTGGTGTGCTCGTCTTCTTTTTCTTTCTCTCGGGGATGAGGGGCCTTTGCTGCCTGTCAACCATCACAAACAAGCTTTCACGGATTCTAGATTTTATCCAGTATGATTTCCACATCTATCACCACCTCTCTATCCTTTCTCTCTCTCTCACTTCTCTCTCCTTCTTCTCTCTCTCGCCACTCTCTGTTCTTCCCTGCTTGTGTTGTATCTTGATTTGACATCTAATACCTTTGAAATTCCATTCTCGTGGTCTAAATATCAGGTACCCACAAACAAGACCAAACCAAAAGGATCGCGGATCAGCTCTTGTTACTCCGTCGCTAGTTTCCTGCCTTAAAGATGAACTACATAAACTTCTCAACCGTTTCTCCAACATCTGCACTGCCTCTTTCTCTGTCCGTCACTTGCTGACATGTGAATCTTACTCTCTGTTACAACACCTCTTCTCTCCAGGGTCTTACTGAGCCGTCACTCCGCATCTATCTCAACCAGCGTGCGATGAAGCGAGTATGATATCTTACCTGCATGCCAAGCATGTAGGATCCTCCTCCTATCAGCGCTGCTATACCCATTCCGGCTGCCATCGCCCATGCCGTCTCTTTGCTGGACATTGCGACTACTCCACTTCGTGATTCGGAGGGGTAGTCGGTCGAATATTGTAAGATCCCCAATGGGGGTGGGGTTATATGATCATCTTGATATTGCGAGGGGTAGGTAGATCATGGTACAGGGGACAGAACAGGGGTCATATCTGATTATTTGGTTGTCATTTGTGAGGGTACGGTACTCTCAGATAATTTTCTCAAGGGGTAGGGTAATAAGCCAGGGAAAGGTGATGGTAGTCCTACAGGGTGGGGGTGGGGCAGAAGCCAGGGTGTCTTGTAAAGGGCCATGAGTGGGGATGAGGATCAATCACGTTTTGCCGGCCCGCCTCTGGACGATGACTTCATTGTCAGGCAACACCGGGTAAGAGAGCTAGCCTATTTTCTGGATGATCGGCTCCTGGATCGGCTCCAGATCAGGCTCAGGATGATGTCGGGCAGGTCATAGTCAGGGTCATAGTGGCGGGCCATGCAGGGAACGTGGGAGCGAAGAAGCCAAGTGAAGGACTGAACGATAGGAGTAAAAAGGGATACACACCCAGAAGCTTTTCTCCTCAGGCATCGGGAGTTCATAGTCTGCGACCGGCATCAGACCTACCCGCACGACAGGCGTGTGTAAGAGTGACGTGCTCGTATCCTTGAGATAGCGGGACAGACAGTCGGAGATCCTTCAGACGTTGTGATCATTTATGAAGACTAGATCTATCTCATCCTGTTTGCACTTTGAGCACAACTTTCTCTTCGTACAGCACGCATGTCGCTGCCTCCTCCAGCTCAGGAGAGCTTGCCGCCTCTATCGTCAACCTTGTTGTGCCTTGAGAACCTTTACGCAGCGGAAGCCCCTCCATCTTCCAATCTCTTCACCCCTTCCATATCCAACCATGCTCCCTCCTTCCTGACAACATCCTCTTCTTCTTCATGTTGCCGCCTACACTGACCCCTGCCATAGCACGAGGTCCTCCCCCGTCGCTGATACCACCCGTCGTCTCGTCCTCTCCGCCAGCAGCTCCATCGAGTGCCTCAGCGCCGCAAGCTGCTTGCTCCTCGGGGGACACCCGTACTTGGCCTCCCGCCACTCCTCCGAGCCCGTCACGAGCTCGCTGCTGTGCTGGAGCTTGAGGCTGTCCCGGAGTCTCTTGGAGATGTCACGGAGGGAGGAGAGGTCGAGGTCGGGGGCAGAGTTTGGGAGGGCATCGAGCGTGCAGAGGTGTAGGAAGGTCGGCTGATCATCGAGGTCCATGGTGTACTGTGTCATGTCGCTTGCGTCGCTGGTGTTGCTGTGCTTTGTGCTGATGCTGGCAGGGTTGGATATGCAAGGGGGAATCAGGGACCACGGGTACATTTATGTATCTGTGGCAGGGGTACTGTAGACTGGTCTTAAAAGGTCAGCATGTCCGACTGTTCTTACTGGTCAATACGGTATAAAAGTACTTTTACTAGAGTCAGTGACCGTCACGCTTCAATAGGGGGCTTACAGTGGGCGCCAGAGACCTAGACCGATTAGCTCCTGGTACAAATGTTTTAGTCAATGTAGTAGGCTACTACTGAGGCTAATCGAGTTGTACCAGCCAGTGCACAGGCTGGCAGCGGCACTGCGGCAAGCATTATTGAGTGTCCGCTAGTACTGATCAGGCGGCCACTTTTCAATGCCGTTCGGAGTTGAGTAGCGGCTGAACTTGGCCAGAAAGTGCTGCTATAGTACTGGCGTGACGGCCCCCGTTCGCACGGGCTAAACACGGCCTCGGACTCCCGGATCGGAGTCGCAGCCTGTTTACTACCGTGGCGTGACTCTCGCCCGGCCCGCGGTGCGCCGCGGCCGACGGTCGGACCGTACGGCAGGTGACTCCTCTCTGCCAGGCTCGGAGTCCGAGACCCGGTGACGGCCACATCATTTGGGTAGTCACAAGTACCCCGGCGGCGGCTTTCAACGGTACCGTACTAGGGCCTGGTCTTAAACCGTCATCTCAGCTGGTACGGTAGTGATCGGACCGTACGGTTGTTGAAGCACCTGATAGGAGGAAGCTTCAACCTCAGACAATGCCAAGTAATCGACGTGGCTCAAGTGCACAGATGCTTAGCCTCGGAATGCATCCCTGGAGAGGACAGCAACAGCTACAATAAGGACGACGTAGGAGAACCATGAAGAAGACAGCAAGAACCTAGGACTCGTGGATGGCAGCAGGAGATAAGCGAGTCAGCTTATATCAGTCCACGACAGGACAGCAGATGACACGGTGGCAGGATATGGCTACGCTCAAGGGGAGATTGGAAGTATCACCCCTGAAGTCATGGACATGGGAGAACAAGGGGTCTGATCAAAGAAGACAGTACTATCATGATCATCTTAGCGGAGGACTTACAAGGGATGCACGAGACTACCTCCAAGCATGCTCCTACGGAGACACAGGACCTGTCAAGGTCAAGGGAGCAGCTACATCAACTTCACAGAGAGCGTTGGATGAGAATCGAAGACCTCGTCATGTCAAGCCTATGACTCTTTCTCAGGGAACCCTCAAGAACAAGCTTGACCATCTATACCAATCTCTTATCACCTCCGTTTGTTCTCTGTATCCTGATCAGTGATATGATCATTCCTGCGCGGCCATTCGTGATAACTATTACCACTGCTACAGAAACTTGCAGTCGGTGCTATCACTGTCTACTTCGAGTCACGGTCACTCCGTAATTGTGTCACCGTCTGTGGAGAGAAGGTTACTGGGAACTTCAACAACGGTCGGACCGTCGTATTGAACGCCGGGTGCCCGGTGAGGCTGGCCCGACCGCTCGGAGGCTCCGAGGCGGGCGGCCGGGCCGGGCGGCCACGCCGGGCCGGCCGGCCCGCCGGGCGGCCAGTAGTCCGATACGGTCACTAGTACGGTAGTACCGGGTAACGGTACTCGCCAGTCACACTGGCCGTCAAGGCTCAGCGTCAAGTTTCGGACTCCCGGCTCCGGCCCCGGATGACTCACTGAGTCACGGCGGACACATCTACTGACTCTGTGAGTGCGGCGCACTCAGTAGATGCTACGGTAGTATCGCAGTTCAAGGTTAGGTGTATGATCAGAGTCCGAGACTCACGAAGCGGGTCGCCGGGCAGCTGGCGTCCGATCTGAATCAGCCTCAGTTGTTCACGCAGTTCTACCCGTGTGATGTGCAGAGCTACACGGTGATCATGCTATCAATTGTTACCGGACCAAGGCTCACCCTACTGCACTGAGATCTAGTGCAACGTGAGTGCTGAGGAAAGGGCTACCCAACTCCTGTGCTGATCATCGAAAAAGCCAACAACTCTTATATCAAGCAGGAACGCTTGCATTCACACTGCCTGCATCAAGAAGTCCTTCCACGAATGTGCTCTCTTCTCCTTGCCTCCCCCTTTCCCCCTTTCCCCCTTTCCCCCTCATGTTCCTATCCTCTTCCGAAGTTCCTACTTTGCCCCATGGTCATCTTCTTCTTCATGTTGCCGCCTCCTTTATTCACATCCCCTCCTCCCCTCTATATTCTACACTGACCCCCGTCATCATAGCACGAGGTCCTCCCCCGTCGCTGACACCACCCGTCGTCTCGTCCTCTCCGCCAGCAGCTCCATCGAGTGCCTCAGCGCCGCAAGCTGCTTGCTCCTCGGGGGACACCCGTACTTGGCCTCCCGCCACTCCTCCGAGCCCGTCACGAGCTCGCTGCTGTGCTGGAGCTTGAGGCTGTCCCGGAGTCTCTTGGAGATGTCACGGAGGGAGGAGAGGTCGAGGTCGGGGGCAGAGTTTGGGAGGGCATCGAGCGTGCAGAGGTGTAGGAAGGTCGGCTGATCATCGAGGTCCATGGTGTACTGTGTCATGTCGCTTGCGTCGCTGGTGTTGCTGTGCTTTGTGCTGATGCTGGCAGGGTTGGATATGCAAGGGGGGATCAGGGACCACGGGTACAATTATGTATCTGTGGCAGGGGTACTGTATACTGGTCTTAACGTCAGCATGTCCGACTGTTCTTAGCGTGAACCGGTGGGGTTTAACTAGCTAGCCAGGCTTTGAGACATGAGCTGGTCAATACGGTATAAAACTACTTTTACTAGAGTCAGTGACAGTCACGCTTCAATGTGGTAGGCTGCCTAGGCTAATCGCCGGAGTTGCCAGTACAGTGCAAGCATTGAGCGGTGGCCGGGCACAGTCACATCAGCTATTACGGTAGCCTGAGCCAGGCTAGTAGTGATCAGGGCGCTGTTCGGAGTTGAGTAGCGGCTGAGGGCTGCCACTATGCCTGTTCTCACGGGCTCAATGCGGATCGGAGTCACAGTTTACTACATACGGCAGGACTTCACTCCTCTGGTCGGACCGTACCGTGCCGTGGCACCGCCGCGTACGGTTACCCCGGTGACCCCACGGTAGTCTCAGCACATACTACTGAGCCCCCGCCCGACGTTACCCCGGCGTTGCTTTACGCCTGGCTAGCCTGAGCCTGGTCTTAACCCGGTGACCGGCGTCAGCCGCTCAGTGACTGACGGTTCTGACTCGGAGGCTCAGCGGCGGCCGAGTACGGTCAGCGGCCCCGGGCCCCGCCGGGAGTCCGGCAGCGCGCCGGGTCGCACCGTCTGTGCTGGCAGTGCCCGGCCGCCCGTGCCAGGCCCTGAGGGCGGCGGCGGGCGGCTGCGCACTCAGTAGATGCTACGGTAGTATCGCAGTTAGGTGTATGATCAGAGTCAGAGAAGGATGAGGGTCGGGCAGCTGGCGTCTGAATCAGCCTTGTTCACTCAGTCCTACCTGTATGACAGTGTGCAGAGCTGCAGTGATCATGCTGATCATCGAAAAAGCCAACAACTCTTACATCAAGCAGGAACGCTTGCATTCACACTGCCTGCATCAAGAAGTCCTTCCACGAATGTGCTCTCTTCTCCTTGCTTCCCCCTTCCCCCTTTCCCCCTCATGTTCCTATCCTCTTCCTTCCTTGCCCCGTGGTCATCTTCTTCTTCATGTTGCCGCCTCCTTTATTCACATCCCCTCCTCCCCTCTATATTCTACACTGACCCCCGTCATAGCACGAGGTCCTCCCCCGTCGCTGATACCACCCGTCGTCTCGTCCTCTCCGCCAGCAGCTCCATCGAGTGCCTCAGCGCCGCAAGCTGCTTGCTCCTCGGGGGACACCCATACTTGGCCTCCCGCCACTCCTCCGAGCCCGTCACGAGCTCGCTGCTGTGCTGGAGCTTGAGGCTGTCCCGGAGTCTCTTGGAGATGTCACGGAGGGAGGAGAGGTCGAGGTCGGGGGCAGAGTTTGGGAGGGCATCGAGCGTGCAGAGGTGTAGGAAGGTCGGCTGATCATCGAGGTCCATGGTGTACTGTGTCATGTCGCTCGCGGCTGGTGTTGCTGTGCTTTGTGCTGATGCTGGCAGGGTTGGATATGCAAGGGGGAATCAGGGACCACGGGTACAATTATGTATCTGTGGCAGGGGTACTGTATACTGGTCTTAACGTCAGCATGTCCGACTGTTCTTAGCGTGAACCGGTGCGGTTTACTAGCTAGCCAGGCTTTGAGACATGAGCTGACGGTCAATACGGTATAAAACTACTTTTACTATATTCATTAACAGTCACGCTTCAATATGGGGCATTAGTTCCAGTGGGCGGCGCCAGAGACCTAGACCGATTAGCTCCTGGTACAAATGTTTTAGTCAATGTAGTAGGCTACTACTGATGAGGCTAATCGAGTTGTACGGTACTAGCCAGTGCACAGCGGCACTGCAAGCATTATTGAGTGTCCGCTAGTACTGATCAGGGCCGCTTTTCAATGCCGTTCGGAGTTGAGTAAGCGGCGGCTGAACTTGGCCCGAAACGGTGCTGCCCACTGGCGTGACCGTGACGGTTCGCAGTGTGACGGGCTAAACACGCGTGATCGGACGGACTCCCGGGCGGATCGGAGCCTCACGATCCGAGTCACAGCCGGAGGCTGTGACAGTGCAAGCAAGTTTACTACCGTACCGTCAGTGGCGTGACCGTCTCGCCCGGCCCGGGCCGCGGCGCCGGCCGGGCGCCGCGGCCGACGGTCGGATCATCGCCGGGACCGTACGGCAGGACTCAGGAGTCCTCTGGGACCGTACTAGGCTTGCGGCAGCGCCGGGGGCCGCCGCAGCCGTGCCTCTCCGGCGGAGCGCCCGGCGGGCCGCGTTTGAACTTGAACGTTGAGGTTTAGTAACTTAACCGTTGAACCGTGATGAAGTCTACTGAGTGCGGCCCGATAGTAACTTAACCGTGATTAAGTCTACTGAGTGCATCTACCGTACTGAGTACGGCGCACTCAGTGTGGATGCTACGGTACGGCAGTATCGCAGTTCAAGGTTAGGTGTAGTATGATCACAGTCGAGACTCACGAAGCGGGTCCGATCGCCGGGCAGCTGGCGTCCGATCTGAATCAGCCTCAGTTGTTCACGCAGTTCTACCCTGTTACACCCCGAAGCTTTACGGGTTGCACACAAGCCAAGCGAATGCTCATAGAACCTCCGCTGGATCACACAGAAGGTGCTAGGCAGTATTATCAAGCTTTATTGCAGCAACCACACCAAGACAGGGAAATGCGTGGTACACAGAGGGAGGGAAGACAGACCACCTAGAGATGAAGATCTTGATCCTTTTATAGCCCTGTGGAAGTCCCAGGGGTAGTGGTCCTCGCTTGCACGAGTCTTCCTGCCTCGTGCCGTCGCTATGGCCCCTTTGGTCCATGCCCTGCTCCTGTTCTTGTTTCTACCAGAAAGGAGAGCTCCACCGGTGCTTGATAGGGAAGCCGTCCCGGAGGGGTCCGACTTCTGAACCAAAGTAGCCGTTAGAGAATCACTGTCTTTCGTCTGGATAGTTGTAGAGGCTATCCTTGTGTGCTGTCCACATTTCGAGTGTTGACCACTCCTGTGTTGGGCTCCTGTGTTGGGCTCGCTAGCCTATGAGCTCTGATATACCCGTGTGATGTGCAGAGCTACACGGTGATCATGCTATCAATTGTTACCGGACCAAGGCTCACCCTACTGCACTGAGATCTAGTGCAACGTGAGTGCTGAGGAAAGGGCTACTCAACTCCTGTGCTGATCATCGAAAAAGCCAACAACTCTTATATCAAGCAGGAACGCTTGCATTCACACTGCCTGCATCAAGAAGTCCTTCCACGAATGTGCTCTCTTCCCCTTGCCTCCCCCTTTCCCCCTTTCCCCCTTTCCCCCTCATGTTCCTATCCTCTTCCGAAGTTCCTACTTTGCCCCATGGTCATCTTCTTCTTCATGTTGCCGCCTCCTTTATTCACATCCCCTCCTCCCCTCTATATTCTACACTGACCCCCGTCATAGCACGAGGTCCTCCCCCGTCGCTGATACCACCCGTCGTCTCGTCCTCTCCGCCAGCAGCTCCATCGAGTGCCTCAGCGCCGCAAGCTGCTTGCTCCTCGGGGGACACCCGTACTTGGCCTCCCGCCACTCCTCCGAGCCCGTCACGAGCTCGCTGCTGTGCTGGAGCTTGAGGCTGTCCCGGAGTCTCTTGGAGATGTCACGGAGGGAGGAGAGGTCGAGGTCGGGGGCAGAGTTTGGGAGGGCATCGAGCGTGCAGAGGTGTAGGAAGGTCGGCTGATCATCGAGGTCCATGGTGCACAGGCGGAGAGCCGCCCAGAAAGGAATGCCGTTAACGGGAGAGCCTGTACCCGAGAAGTTGGATGGCGAAATTTGATGATAGTCGTGCTTTCGTGCGTGCGTGCGTGCGTGCGTGCGTGCGTGCGAGGATGCAGGGGTGAACACGGGGACAGGAGGGTAGTTACTACCCCACGCTGTCTCCTTTCACGAAAAGAGTTCTTTTCCTTTGTAGCTCATGGCATCCGGACTGCAGTGAAGCCACTTCAAGGACTACCGGTACTTCCTAAGGACTCAGAAGGGGGTACATTTCAACCTCTTTACGGGATATGCCTCTTATTTTTACTCTGGCTCCTTTACGTAAAACCTTTTACATAACACAAATCTTTTTAAACAAAGACAGCTTTATATCTGGTACCACTTTTACAATCCTGTTGTAGGAAAAAATCATTTTTGGGCTCGTGTGACTCCGAGGCTTTGAGTGGCCCGAGACTGCTGTAAACGGAGCCCTGCAACTACAATGAGTCCCTTACCGCAGCAGCTCTCGGTCCAGCCCGGCTGAGTCTGGCGTGACAGTGAGCCTCGGACCCGGCCGCGGCGGGAGGGCGGCGGGCCCGTGGGGGCCGGGCGGGCTCGGGCGGTCCGGGCCCGGTCGGAGCCTCAGCGGCCTGGCAGTGAGCGGCCGGGCGGCCCCCGGCGCCGCCGCCGCACTGCCCGCATGCCATGGCCCGGCGGGGCCCGGCCGCCGGGGCGCCATGCTCGGATCCTGGCGGCGCGGCGCGCGGCGCGGCCGCGGCGGCGCGGGGGACTCGTCGGAACGTTCAACGCCGGGTTACGGTGGTCACCAGTGGCGCCGCGCGGCGGCGGCGCCACGCCCACGTGAGCCGGCCCCGCCGCACGGTGCGACGGTGCCACGGTGCGGGCAGGCTTCCGAACTCGGAAGCCCGGCTCGGTCGTCGGAACGTGATCGGACCTGGCGGGCCGAGGCTGCAGTGCCGGCGGTCACCGTCACTGCTCGGACACTGCGGCGTGACTCCCAGGATCACCGGATGCCCGCCAACCGTGGCATTCCGAATTGAAAGTTCAGTCACGTCGCGAGTTACTCAATCTACAGTCAGATGACTCTCGGATCGAGGACTGAAAAGGTCTCAGTGGGTTGTCATAGTTAGTCGGTAGCATTATGGTAGCGTCACTCACGGCGTAGTACTGCCATACAATGAGCAGCTTTCATATGTTTTTCATTTCACAATCTTTCATCACATGTATATGTAGTCTTCCTCTGGATCGCACTCTGGAGGACAAAATTCAATGTTCTGATCATTGTCTTTCTCTCTGGCTGCAGCAGCCTGCTGTACACTTTTCGATGCGGGTATCATAGCTTCCTGCTGCTGAGTTGCTGGTGGTTTCACCTTGTTCTGCTGAGTTGCTGGTGGTTTCACCTTGTTCTGCTGGGTTGCTGGTGGTGTTTGTATTGGAGTCTTGGTCGGTTGAGCGACAGGTTTCCACACGACATCGCAATGGACGGGCGTTTCATCCCCTGTATCCATTTGAGATTCAGCCGCCCCGTAAATCTTGGCGGTCTGGTTGCTCCCGCTGCTAGTGCCAGAGAAGTCAGGATGTCTGCCATGTTGCTGGTTGGACTTTTCGTATAGTGTCCTCTGCTTTGCAGCTACGAGGACTTGATACGCATCTCTGCTTCTCAAGCTGTAATCCCGTTTGTTGAGAGGATCGCCGAACACGCCCAGGTCTTGCACCTTGCATCATGGAGAAAGTGTCATTTTCAAACCAAGAAACTGATGGGTCCATGATACAAAGTTGCAGGCAGGCCACGTCAAACAGCCACATTTCCATCATAAAGGAACCGAAAACAATGCACTCCACACACATCACTTCCTCTGCCCGATACAATCCCCCACATCCATCATACGCACATCCTCCACCACGATCTCTCCCCTGCCATGCTGCTGCTCCCCGTTCTACCTTTGGCGCCATTCTGCGCGGCGTCTCGACTTCATGGGAGCAAGCGTGCGCGCAGCTCTCTATGGCGCCCATGGGAGATGTCAAAGTTGACTAAACATTTGAATGGAGAAGAGAGGGGATGAGGCCCCAGAAATTCAGTAGTGTTGATTTGACGTGAAAAGGCGCCGGGAGTATGGCAGGAGGAGGGGGAGGAGGAGGGGGAAGACATGAGGAGAGGAGGAGAGGGGAGAGGAGGAGGAGGAGAGGAGAGGAGGAAGACAGATAGATCCTAGGTGGAAGTGATCATGAAGCAGACAAGAGTTCTAGCGATCGCCTTGACATTCCTCGTGTTTTGCCTCCACACGCTGCATTCGCTTCCATACCCCTACGAGTCAAATGACGGTCTCAGAATCCACACTGTAGAAGGGCGCTTCATAGCAGTCGAGAACGAGCAGGCGTTGAACAACTCGTTGAGAGCTCCTCAAGCATCTTCTACCTCAGAAGCTGATCTCTCCGAATTCCTCAAGTTCGTCCTGAGCGAGTTGAACCCCTGCATTGAAGGGAAGCATGCATGCGACCCTCATGCTTCATGTATCCCGTTGGTGAAGGACGCGGCTCAAAGAGCGCTGGAGTACATCTGCACCTGCAAGGCTGGATGGAGTGGAAACGGGTTCTACTGTGAAAACATCAACGAATGCCAAGTTCATGGTTCAGATGTAAATCCGCTGTGTGAGAGTGGCATGTACTGCAAGGATACCATGGGATCCTTCGAATGTCTGAACAATCATGGATTCGATGGAATGGATAAGGGAACCATCCCTGTGGACGTTGACGAGTGCATGCAAGGCTCCCACAACTGTCATGAACATGCGCAATGTCACAACGTGCCAGGAAGCTTCACATGCACGTGCTCTTTGGGCTACAATGGAAACGGGACCACCTGCTGGAACATGTGCCATGAAGCAGCTCCGGCTCAGCGCATAAACTGCTTTCAGGACGACACGCCCAGTGAGGAGACGTGCGTACATAGAGGCTGCTGTTGGAACCCGTCAGCGGATATGCCCAACACTCCCTGCTACTACCCACTTCCTGCGAACTTCTACCGATTGGTGTCATGGACAGAGACGAGCTCTGGCGTACTTGCGGTGCTCGATTGTGATGGCGAGATGCGATACGGAGATGGCCGAGGAGGAGGGGGCACCAGGCCGTTCCATATCGGACCGTTCGGGTCAGAGATTTGCCCCCTCCACCTCTACGTATCCTTTGAGTCAGAAGATCATCTGCAGATCAGAATCTTTGATGCCTCGAAGCCTCAATCTATGATCCCTCCTTACTTCTTCCCCGACCGGAGGACGAAGGAGCACAAGGCTGAGGACAGGAAGTACTCAGTGAAGTACATTGGTTACCCGTTCGGACTGATCGTCCAACGTGAACCGGACGGACTTGTGCTATTCAACTCGACGCCAGTCCCGGGCCGGATGAACGGGTTGAGCTTCGAGCCTCAGTTCATCTCTCTGTCAACGCAGCTGGAGGAAGGAACCATCTTCGATGGGCTGGGGCCAGCCTCCTCCACTCCCTATGAGTCAAAGGAGAGTCTGAAGACTTACCTGGTCTGGCCAAGCACTTCGAACCAGAGCACATCCAGTCCTTTCCTCTTGTCATTGTCGAAAGAGCAGGAGGCGAAGTTCGGGCTGCTGATGTCCAACCCACATGCCATGGAGGTGCTGTTTGCGCGAGACTCTCTCACGTTCCGCATGATCGGCGGGGAGATCGACTTGAGGATCTTCGTTGGAGGAGGGAGCAAGACTATCGTCAAACGTCTTACAGACGTGGTGGGGAAGCTGGAGGATCTTCCGCCTTTGTGGTCGTTGGGGATGCTAGTCAAGCTGAACAGCACCACAAGCTCGGACAACGTTGGACAAGAGGCGGAAAATCTTATGGAAATGCTCGACAACCAAGATATCCCTTACGATGGGATTGTGGTGGATGTACGAGATTTCTCGGACTACAGGTAGGAAAGATGGAAGCATGGTAAGATGAGTCGTTGTGACGCTTCAGTGGGACAGTGAGAACGAGTTGTACTCGAAGAATCTAGGTAGATCGGACAAGAACTTTGCAAGGAAGGTGATGTACAAACCCTCCCCACGATCTCTTGCAACTCCATCTGCAGCTCAATCAATGAAGGGATGCTGACTGTGAACTATGAACTAAGGTATCGGATATGAGCGTACATGTACGAGGCCGAGGGAAGAAGCTGATAACTGCAGTCTATCCCTCATCGCTCACCCTCGAAGGTGAAAAGCTTGCGATTGACTCTTCAGACATGTGAAGATTTTCTTGCTTGTAGATGCAATCATACGGGACAAGTTCAACAAGCCCGTCAGAGGCAAGATGAAAGGAGAAGACGTTTTCTACTTGGACTTCTTCAATCCGAACATCACGCGAACGTGGGGTGACAGGCTTGAAAGACTTTCCAAGATCATCGAGTTTGATGGGGTGAGGCTGGAAAAGAGAAAGCAAGAGCTATCCTAATCAGAGTTTCTGCCGACAGATCATGCTCGAGTCCTTCCAGCCAGAAAATGAATGCAATGGGATATGTTTGGTAAAGCTGATCTTTCTCCCTGCTCTCCCTTTCTTCGCTTTCTTCTCCCATTCCCGCCCCCTCCTCTCTCCTTCCCTTATACCTCTTCCTCTTGCTCCTCCATCTCATTTCATCCCTTTCAGGAAACTTGCGATAGATTGAACAAGTTCGACTCGACGGAGAAAGCCACATGCTCTCGCAGCTTTCAGACAGAAAGGAGAAGGTGATGGCAATAATTGGTCTTTTCTTTTCCTCCCCTCCCCTTCCCCCCCCCCCCCCCCCCCTTTTTTCCCCCCCCCCCCCCCCCCTCCCTCCTTCCTCAACTGAGGTCCACCCTTCTCTCTTCTCCCCTCAAATCTCCTTCCCTGATGCTCCCCTCTTCTCTCCTTCTCCTTCCTCTCCCCTTTCATGCCTTCTCCTCTTCTCCCCTCCCTTCCTTTTCCCTCCTCTCTCCTCTCTCCTCGTCTTTCTAGATATTCTGATCTTGGAGTTTGAGCAGGAGGAGTCACGTTTATGCCCCCTGGAAGCTCAGGAAGGAGGGAGGACATCGCTTCGACCCTGCCAACCCCCCGTACAGACCAGGAGGACGTGAACTTGAAAGGCAGACAATCCCAATGGACGGTCAGCAGTGCGTCGTGACAAGAGTGGAGGAGAGAGAGCAGGAGCGAGTGGGAGCAGGAGCAGGAGCAGGAGCAGGAGCAGGAGCAGGAGCAGGAGCAGGAGCAGGAGCAGGAGGGAGGAAGTGGCTCATCTGTGAGAACAGAGATCACTACAGTCTCCACAATCTCTACGAGATGTCAGCAGCGTTCGTGTCATATCAAGTTCTGTCGGATCTCCTTCCTTCCCGCCCCCTCATACTTTCACGATCGGACGCCCCTGGCATCGGCCAGTGGGCTACAGTGATGGATGACATGAAGTCTCAAGATTTCTCGTCTACTCTCTCTCGCCTGGTCAGCTCAGCGATCAGGTGAAACCTTCTCCTCCCCTCCCCTCCCCTCCTCTCCCCTCCCCTCCCCTCTCCTCTCCTCTCCTCTCCTCTCCTCTCCTGTCCTCTCCTGTCCTGTGCTGTCCTCTCCTCTCCTCTCCTCTCCTCTCCCCTTATCACTTCTTCTGTCCTCTCCTCTCCTGTCCTCTCCTCTCCTGTCCTCTCCAGTCCTCTCCTCTCCTCTCCTTTCCACCTCAACCTCATCCTCTTGCCTTATTAGTTTTCTCTCTTCGTTCTCTTAACGTTAAGCTCAGCTCGGGAATAGGAGGAGTCTCCCTGTTTGGAGGCGACGTCTGCGATCACAGCAGCAGAGGAGAGCGATGGGCTGAGTTTTGCCTCCGAAACCTTGAGATTTCCTCGCTCTTGCCGATCTTCTCAACAAGAGCAGAGACCCTTCATGCAATCCTGCATCCTTCTTCCAAGTTTGCAAGTGTGATGAAATTTCTGTTGAGAAGAAGGTACAGGTACGAGCATGATCGTGTCGAAGCGCGTGTTTGAGCTGACATGGGTCAAGTTTGACGAGCTACATCTACACCTGCGTGTACTTCTCGCACACTACGGGCGTTCCAGTGATTCGGCCGTTGCACATGGAGTTTTCAATGGCAGGAGACGAATCGAAGAAAGAAGAAGTAGCAGTGAGATGAGTTTGAAATCAGGATTTCACATCTTATCATATGTCGTCACAGAACAACATCATGTTCGTGCTCGGTTCATCTATCCTGGTCGTTGCAAACTTGAACATGGAAGGTAGCAGCATATCAGTGCAACTTCCTTCTCAGAGGTGAGAGGTTTGCCTGTAGCTCAAAGGAGATGATTTCTGAAACTTGTAAGGTGGTACAACCTCAACAGCGGATTGGAAGAGAAGCGAAGTGGAGCAGGAGCAGGAGCAGGAGCAGGAGCAGAAGGGGCAGGAAAGATCGTGCTATCTGCTAAACTTGGGATTTTACCGGTGGCGATTGTGATAAGACAAAGACAGCTTTGTTGACAAACTTGTATTGTTGTTTGCTTCTGCAGATGCTCTTGAAGGGAGGCTCAGTACTGTCTCTGCAGTTTCCCGCTACAAACATGAATGGTTTGTTTATCTTCATCTACAAACCCCGGTGATCTCGTTCGCAGACAAGAGTGAATCACCTTTCGTGTTTGTGTGCGCTCCGGACGAGGTGAGGAAAGAGAATATGAATGTTGAGAACAAGAATAATCCCTTGCGCTGTTTTGACTTGTCGAAAGTTGCCTTTGTCGCTCAATTTTGTCAAAATTATGATTCTTTTGCTCTTGATTTCTTGATTGTACCTGCAAGTCATTGTTCTTGCGCTCATCAAGAATTTCTCTTCTTTTCATGGAAATATTTTTTGTTGTGCGCATGCGTGATTGTGGGCAGGCAGGGAAGGGGGCTGGAGACCTTTACCTGGACGATGGGAAGTCACAGAAGAATGTTTTGAACGGTAAAGAGAGGAGAGGAGAGGAGAGGAGAAGAGAGGGGAGGAGAGGAGAAGAGAGGGGAGGAGAGAATGAGGAGAAGACAGGAAGAATACGAAAACGAGGAAAGAGAAGTGAATACAAAAACAAGACAATCAGGATAAGAAATTGAGGAACAAGAAACCAGCACGAGGATACAACATGACTTCTTCTGATGTTTTCTCTCTGACAGGAAGGTTCAACTTGTTGCGATCAAACTGTTTTGTCGACGGGAAGAATCAGTTGGGAAACTTTACATTGCAATCTCTTAAGAGAGACAGTGCCT